CAGAAGTCTCTCCCTAAAGAGGTTGCTAGAGGCCAAGAGAAGCTTGGTATAGCACAGTAGTAAATTACCACAGGATCTGGATTTGGACCTTTTCCCTCCCCTACCAAACCGCATCCCCATTACCCTGTACAATTCCATGGGACTCGGACAACAGAGAAAGGGAGGTACATCCTCCAGAATTCAAATTGGTATATAGAACCCATTCTCCCATAAGGCTCACTTTAACTCCTCCTTGGTACAAAGGAAATGCAGAAGATCTCCAACTTACAATGGCTACAGGCTGCACAATGGTGTGAAAGAAATATGCATGCAGTAGAAACCATGCTTCGAATGTGGTTGGTTTTTGGTTTTCCTTCTTTGTGATTCTAGGGATCAAACCCAGGCCCTCCCATATGCTAAGCCATGCTCTCACACTAGTGTCACCTCCCAGCAATCAGCTGAAAGATCAGATTTTGAATGTAGGTCTTTTCCTAGGCTGACCGTATGCAAAACAGCCCTGTCTCAAGAAGCTGGGCCACAGCAGTGAGCTTCAGCTCCAGTCAGCCACTTCTCTGGGGGAAAAGAGCACATCCATCTTCAGAACAGGGTCTCCCTGTTACTAAAGCCACTGTCCTCAGTGCAGGGTGAGAAGCGCTGGCTGGACAGGACCTGTAATGAGCTCTCCCAAACTTGCTCTCCAGCTCGCCTAGAACATAAAACACAGACCCCCAGCCCCAGGCTCACAAAGTTAATCAGGCCCTCTGTTGAAAGAGTCTGGAAACCTGTGTTTTTGATGAGCTACCCAGCTCCCAAATTTGATTTTAGCATAGAGGAGACTGACTTTCCTCCTGGGCATGGGGGTGGCACAGCCCGGTGCTCCCAGCACTCCGGGAGGCTGAGGTCAAAGGATTACAGGTTTAAACCCAGTCTGGGCAATTTAATGATTTAGTGATTCTCCAAATAACAAACAAAAAGGGTGTCCATGTAGCTCAGTGAGAAGGGCCTGCTCATTCCCCAGTACTGCAAAAAAGAGAGTTCTGATTATTCATTTAATCGATCAGTAAATATTTATTAAATTCATGAAGCATACAAGACCACATTTTTCTTGATCCAAGTTTTTAATTTTTATTTAGGGAAGCACTATAACCTTTTAGCTAAAAGTTTGTTTTTTAATGTAAATTGTTCTTTATACTACCCCAGGTTACTTCAAGAAAAATCAGAATCTAATTTTAGCAAGACAGTTACTAAAGTATGAAAAACCGTTCTGCTCACTGCCCCATACATTTTAAAATCTGAAGGCTATAGCACTTAAAATATAGAAACAGATAGCAAAAGCTGTTTTCTGAAAAGTGCTACCTTTCCAATTTTGTGATTTCGGCACCATTACCTTGTTCTATATTCTTGCCTTCTGGTGGGAGGAAGTCAAGTGTAAGAAGAAGAAAATGCCTTGGGAAGCCATAAGAAAAGTCAAAATTAATTACTAAAAAGGTTGATTGTTTCACAATGTTGTTATGTTTTTAAAATCTCTACAGCATAGATGCTCTGATCTGGGGGAGTGTAAGCAGGTATGTGCTATTCCTCTCCGCTGCTCAGAAATTTCCCACTTCCATCTTGGCAGCATCGCCCTTTCTCCACCCTGTTTCTTCTGCGGGGATTGGGCAATTTAAAAAAGGAAAGGGAACTAAATAAGTAGGGGAGCTAAAGATGTAGCCCCGTGATGGAGCACTTGCTCAGCACGAGTGAGGCCCTGGGTTCTATCTCCAGCACCACCAAAGAGAGAGAGGGAAAGTAGAAAAACCAAAACAACTATAGCACTTGAACATGTTGGACCAAAGTGTTGCAACCAAGGTCACACGCACTGTCCTTAAAGCAGCAGAAGTACAAGGGAGCAACAATGAGGGGCAGGCGTCAGGAGCGGGCACTGAGCCCATGGTCGTAAGCCTCTGGGCTGTCTGTTAATGGTAAAAGTGCAGCAATTAGAAAGAGCCCCTTCGTAAAAGCTCAGCCAAATATAGGACCTGCCAAAGAAGCTAGGAGAGGGAAATCCACATCTAGCAGCCACCCAGCTCCTCATGTTACCGACTTGATAGCAGCAGTGCAACTCTACCCACAAAAACAGCTCTGGGGTCAGGATGCTGTCACCTCACTTAATTCCCCATGGCTTCCACAGTGGAGGTAGAAGTGCCAAGATTCCAGATCTGAAAGCAGCATGGACAAAGTACACGGCTCCTTCCAAGGGACATGGACCCCAGCAGCCTGCAAGGCCAAACCCTTCCAAACCTTTCTGACCTTGCCTGCCTGCTTCTCAGGAGGCTTCTGCAAACGTGTGAAACCTTGGTTCTAAGACAGTCAGTGCCTCAACATACCCAGAGTCCATATCTCATCTGCTTACATGTTTCACTTGTAACATTTATAAATGTATAACATTCATAACACTACTCTAAAAATCAATTTATTTTGGTTTGTTTTAGTAATACCATAATGATTTGCCACATTTTCATTGCTTTTATGAATAAAAGTAGTGACGAACTTAAATTCCACTTCCTAACTAGAACTAATTCTGATTGCTGCCTACATGACTTTTTGTGTGAGTCACACAATTCACATGTACAAGCCAGTGGAGTGGAAAGGGGTGGTTCCTCTCCTCGCAGCCTGCAGTCCTCTAATGAAAGACAAGCTAACAAGAGAAGGGCATAGTAAGAGTTCATTTAATCAAAGTTTTATGAGACAAGGGAGCCTTCAGAAATAAAGGTCCAAAGACCCAGGTAAAACTGCTTTTAAGATTAGACTCAGAGAAGAATGGACAACAAATGTAAAAGTGGGATTGGACGAAAGACAAAACACTGTTCTAATGTTAGTAGATAGACAGAAGAAACCTGGCAAGGCTGTCTGGTGCAGATTCCTCCCAGCCTCTCTGTGTAGCATTCCTTCCTCCAAGATAGGGCAAGACTCCTGGAGTGAGATTTTTATAATCTACTATCAGACAAGGTAGGTCAGAGAATTTCTTCATGGCCAGCTCCTACAGAGAAAAGCAGGGGAAAATTAGAGTAATGCTTCTAGGTTTTATGGCTTTCTTTGAGGAGAGGGGTTCTAATTCCTGTGACCCATCTTAAGGAATGGGAACTCTGGCTCGGGGAAGAGAGAACTAGGCATGGGACACAGGAAGACAGACGCTGAGGAAGGAATTATGCTTCTGCATCCGATGCCCCCATTTCTTTAGTGCAGAGCACTCCGCTGAAACACTGCACTCTGGGGCATCGTCTTCGGAGCTCTATAGCCTCAGAAACAGAAATGAAATGAACAGAGAAATAGGCAGCGAATGGTAATAGCTCAATACTTAAAGCTGATGTAACACAACAGTTGGACTTATATAGGTGGACTGTACTCTGATTAATTCCTTTGGCTGGGAGAAAAGTAAAAGCAATTTTATTATTTTCATGCTTTAGCTATTTTTAATAATTCTGTTTCTAAGTGAAATCATTCTCACAATTGGTTTTTCTATCTGTAAATCAGATGATAATAATGGCCAAATAAAGTGATTACACGGGTCAAACAAAGGGTCTAGGAAAGCACAGGATATACATACTAAATATTAATTGCTTTCATGCTAAATATTACATGCAACTTCTCTGCTAAAACAGGAGCGTGACTGGACAGAGGGTCTCAGGGGAGTTGTTTGCAGCTCTTTGGTATCTGGAACAAAGAATTGAGCAGGACACCCAGAGGAATGAATAAGAGTAAGCTTTAGTGAGACCGAAAGTTCGCTCCACAGGGTGGGAGCAGCTGCAGAGAGGAACTCACGGCCCCGACAGGGGCAGCCACTGGCCTCCTAAGGTCCTGGGACTGTGGGAGTGTCCCCAGGTGGGAATTCACAGCAGTCACCACCTGACTCAGCCCACCCATAAGGAGGGTTTCATTGATCATACAAGGTTTCTAGAAGAAGTGTGTTGGTATCCGAAGCCCACCAGGAGGGTCAAAACTGCAATGCAAGTAAGGTTGGGTGCAGACCAGGGTCCTATACTTTCAGCTTTGCAGATGCCTGCAGATCTTGGGAGGACAGGAGAGCCTTCATCTGTTGGCCGCCCAATATTTGGACAGAGTCCTCCAGAATTCTTGCCCTGTGGCATCCCGTTATTTGCTTGTCCTTGCTCTACTTCCTACCTTAAGAAAATTAAAACTCACAGAGTCCTTGTACTTCTCTTCTGCCTTTCAAAATACATGTGAGTGCATCCCACACGTGACTACAGAGCAGTCATGAAATGGTGTCTAAAGCATTTCCATCTCTGTGCCCCAGGAACACGACCATGAAGACACTCTGAGGCTGCGTCCGTCTGTCGTGTGTCTGTAGTCATCTGTAGCCTGTCTGTAGACCACTACAGGCTCACTACAGGCAGCTGGATAAGCCCATAGCCATGACTTGCACAGCCTCTCCCTGTCAAGACTCAATGTCCACATGCACTTGCCTCCCAACTTCCTTTGTCCTAGGCTGTGTTGATCAGTTTTCTGTCACTGGGACACTCGAGTTAATTAGCTGGTACAGCAAAAAGGTTTATTTCAGCTCACAGTTTTGGAGGTTTCTGTCCATGACTCAGGCCCTTGCTGATTTTAGGCCTGGGGTGAGGCAGCACATCATGGAAAGAGGACAGAGTAGAGCAAAATCAATCCTCTCATGGCCAAGAGGAGACAGAGAGGGACAGGAAGGGGCTGGCCCCACAATCCCCTCAAGGAATGGACCCTGTTACTGAAGACCTCCTAATGGTCCCACCACCCCTCACCACACGTGGGGACCAAGCCTGCACACAAGCGCCCTGGGGCCCCTCCAGACTCCCATGATGGTGCTTGTCAAGAGGAGATCACGGGGCCCAGCCCAGGCCTCTCCTGTGGATGTCCAGAAAGCTGCATTTGCACCACGCTTCGAGAAGATGTGCACCCCAAAGCTTGGCTTGGAGAGCCTGTTTTCCCCAACTCTCCAAAATATTTCTGTTTTTAAACTTTTCTCCTCTCTGATTTTATTTCTTTAGGGGACAACAATGGATGGTCTCTGCAACTTGACAAATACTTTGCCAGTTATTACCAAATGGCCTCCCCCTATCCCTTTGATGCGGAAAGATCCGAATGCTGTAAGTGATCATTGTGACTGAGTCTCTTGTTCCATGAGCTCACAACAGAGCACCATGTTTTAAAAGTCAGATCTAATGTGTTTTTTTAAAGGGTTAATTTTACTTTCGTAGTTGCAAGTTTTATTAGAGATACACTCTTAAATTTGGGGGCTTTATTTTCAAATGATTCAAGGATCTTAAGTGTAAAAGCAATTATGTCAGGTATTATGAACAAATTTATCTTAGTACTGGGGGATGCTGTTTTATATAAGTTCCCTTTTCAGAATCGCTATAAACCTTGAGGTAAAAGAAACTGAGAAAACAGAAAAGCAGTGATGCTGTTTAGATTTTAATGTTTACAAAGAAAAAATGCTCTAAGGTCTAAGCTACAAAACTTTATAAAACTTATACAAAACCTTATCGATTATAACTTGTGATTTTTAGTCATACATATTGGAGACTTGCAAATGAAGGGGGCTTAGAAGGGGATAAACATGAGGATTACCTTTATGATGTTTTAGAACAGGAAGATTTGTGAAAATAATACCTTTAAGTAAATTTTATCTGTTTTAATAAATTATGCAGATATAATTCTGTACCTTGTACCCATAATTCAGTCCTAGGTTTTCAAAACCTTGTTTAAAAAGCAGGGGGTGGGAGAAGGGAGAAATCTTTTACTATAGATTTTTCCTTTATGATCTGCCACAAATTGTAAAGTCCAGCTTCTCAATTTTTAATTTGTTTTTGTCTCCATTGCTCAAGTGAGATTAACAAAAACTTACTTACAAAGTATCCCATGTGTATTCCAGAGGAAGGAGGCCAAATAATTTGATCATTAAAAAGCTAAAAGCTTTTAGAAAGAGAAAAGAGAAAAGCTAACAGGTATAAATTAATTGCTAATATAATGTCAAAAATAATACTGATTAAGCTGTATCGTCATAAAATGTTACTTTTATTTTCTTTTATTGTATATTGATTTGGGCTGGGGATTTAGCTCAGTGGCTCCACTGCCTGTCTCGCAAGTACAAGGTTCCGAGTTCGATCCCCGGTATCAAAACAAAACAAAAAGAAGCAGACTCTATTGTATATTGATTTCATTTCTTAAATTTTAATTGAATCTTTTTATAGCTCACTTTATTCTCCCTCCCCCCAAAATTTTCAACAACTACTAATAGACATAAACCATTACCATGAGATAAAAGATAATAGTCAAGCGGCAAATGGAAATAGAATGGCAAAGAAATACTATACAAGAAAATCCTCACCATGAAAAGGTTAGCAACTACACCCAAAGCTTTCTTCTGAGTTTTGTAGCCATTAGATTAAAATAATACGTAACATAACTTTATAGCTTGTAAAGCAAAAGCCAATAGATGGGGACACTTCAGATCAAGTCAGCAAGAAAAATGTTTTTTTCCTTATTCCAGATCTTGCTCTCTGGAAGAAATTTGTCACAAGTATAACTGCATAAGAAGAACGAAGTTACACAATAACGAATGAATCAAAAATACAGAAGAAACATTTCTCATCAATACTATTGCACAAATGCATAGTTTTTAATTAGAATTCTTTAGACATGATGAGAAGTTGCTATTTATAATCAAATATCTTTGTCAATCTTGAAAACAATATAAGAATTAAATGACAAGTGCAGATAAAACTTGGGTGTGAAACTTAAATTCGTTCCTACTGTGCTACTCTATTCAACGAAGTTACTATAAGGGATTCATTGGAAATTAAACAGGATGGTTTGTAGTCATTCTTGTCTAAATGAAAAAATGTGAGGAGTTCCCATTTTAATGTCACCTCTCAATGTCATTGAAAATATAGTATCTGTGATTAACCAATGCACTACCAAAGTTTAAATTATATAGGGTCTGGAAAAAAAGTTTGCCTAAGCATAATTCCATCAGGCAGAGGCTACCAACACTTACTTACTGATGCATTACTCATCTTTAAAAAAAAAAAAATCTGAAATTGCCCTAATGAACCATTTTTCAATAGCATTTTCCACTAGCATTTTAGCATAATCAGGCATCCCTATGACAACAGGCTTTTTTAAAAATATGCAACACATGGGGCTAGGGACGTAGCTCAGGGTACAGCACTTGCCTAGCCTGCACGAGGCCCCAAGCTTGATCCTCACCTCCACTACATACATAGGCACACAAAATATCCGTGTTTTGTAAGTAACATTTACATGCTATTTTCCACATTTCCCTATTACTGGCAACACTGTCATCCACGTGTATGGATTATCTTAATTCATATTCATAATGGATATATATACAAAATAAACACTGGAATCAACGATTTTGCTGCTTTCCTTTCCTGTTCCTCCTACTCTTCCATTCTCAAGACTGTCCTCCCCCCACCCCTTCCCATCTCAAGACAGCACTCACACATGAGCTAGGACCTCAGCTCAGAGACAGAACTACTTTTCAGTGATCATAGCCAAAATGGGTACTTACATCTATAAGACTGTTGAGGAATTCTCCACAGATACTCTGTTTACAAAGAGCAAAGCTGAGTCACAAGCTAGATCTCTTGTACCCTTGTAGAGTAGTAGTCTCTGCAGTTACATGGCCGAAGGGAAGAACACCTGTCAGCCCTGCACCTGAGCGAAGGGCGTGTTCCCTGATCTAACCTGCTGGCCAGCTGTACTCAGGATGCCACTCACAGGGCTCTGTTCCTCCCAATGGGACACCTGACCCCACCCAGGAAGCTTCTCTGGGAAGGTTAGAAACCGGAAGCCAGAAGGCAGAAAATTCACCTGGAAAGATTTGTGGGTTCTAGGGTGTTTTAATTTAGCTATGAACATTTTTAAATGATTATATATAAAATATTGATTGTTATTTCTCTTTTCTGTGAGAAACTTGGTAGATTTGGCTGCACATGTTCCTGAGGTAGAAGCTGCTAAGGGGAGTTGCTCTTCATGCTATCTGCACACAGACTACACCTACTTTCCCGACCCCTGTAGATATTTGAGTCTTGAACCCCTGATGTACACCTGATGGCTCCAGAAGTAAATTTGAAGGGGAGGCATTGCTCATTGCTACCTCTAGATATCCTGCATCTCCACAGAATCTGAAGAAAGAGCATTAAAAAAAAAAAAATTTGAAGAACACTTGAATTTTCTAGGAAACCTAAATATACCAATACTATCATTCATTGTTTAGTCCTCTTATAAAGGTTTTGATGCTGCTATTAATAAATAGTTTATTCTTAAATAGAAGCCTTCACATGGACGTTAACCCCGTCACACCGATCCTATCTCCCTTTGGTGATGTAAGAGCAGATGGTTACATTCATTCTGCAACAAAAGGAAAAGAACAGGCTGCTGTTTAAAAAAAAGATGGGCTGGTAAATGTATGTGTATCCAAATGTTAATCCTCTAGCATCATTTCAAACTTAAAAGCAAACTTTGGAGCCTTAATTTAAAGCATTGCTCAGATGGCTCTGGTGAGAAGGACATGTACTAAGTAGTTTTCTCATAGCTCTTCATCTCTTCCTTTTCATGACCCCCGCTGTCCTGGCCCCTTGCTGTCGCCCCTCTGCCTATGTCTCTGCACAGTGGTTGGCTCTGTGCCCGGGTGTTGTTCATGCCGAGGTCTAGTGCTGGACTGTGACGAAGCCAGTTTACATGCTGTCCCATCAGTTTCTTCAAATGTGACTGCAATGTAAGTAGAAAAGGAGGGCTCATCCCAACCACTGGGACAGTACTGGTGACATTGTACCAAAGACCGTGTCAACATCAAGAATGCATGTTTGTCAAAGATGATGCTATTGTTCCCGGATCAGTTATAATGATTGCTCATAATCATTTGCATGTATTAAATGCTAGGCCTCCACCTTAAATTATTCCATGGATTAGCTTACTCAACCCCTCATAAGAATCCTATGAATTATTTCATATTACCACATTTTATCTGAACCAAAGATAAAAGGAATCTAGTTAAACAATAACATAGAATTTTTCTTTGACACTTATTGAAAGAACTCTTTTAGAATTTATTGGACATAAGTTTTAATATATTATGATGTACAAATCAAGGAAAACAAGAAAAATAACCTGGATGAAATATTCCCAGAACATCGCATTTAAATTAAACTTTTGAATCACATTTTGACTCAAAGATTTTTATTTTTTTCCTAAGTAATTCAAACTTATGCATGAAAAGAAATTATTTTCATAATAAATGGTTTCTCGATTTCTATTACTTGTGCTTCTAAGTTTCCAATAGTACAAATTGGGATTCAGCCCGATTTTAACAGCCCAAACACACACACTTCACAAAAACTTTTTGAAAAAGAGATCAGCAAAGATGGCTATTTTAATCCAGTATTTTTTCTGAGGTTTTTTTTACCCACGTGTTTTAGTATCTTGTGGCTCTGACTTTTGGGTATATGGTGACAAACAGAAACAATTCTTGAGTTTACAAATGTCAGCAAGTCTTACCTGTCTCAAACTAAACGACATTCAACTCCAGTGCTTGACGTACAAGGGGTGGAAAATCTAGAGCGCAGAGTTCCTGCAGAGAGTGGGGTCATCAAGTCACAGAATCTGGGGAGTTCCCTGGGAACTGGAACTAGGACATTGGGAGTTTAAAGCACAAAACTTCGTAACATCTCACCTGAGCTAAAGAAAAGGAAAAGCTCTCGAGCACTTTGTCCTCTCCTTCACCCTCACACCTCTTTTTATCCTCATTAGTCCTACTAGAAAAAATGATTCCTCAAAGAAACTAAGGTATTGTGAGACGTTTTCATGATTTAAATTTAACTGGAGCTGGGCATGGTGGCACACACCTGTAATCCCAGCATTTAGAAGGCTGAGGCAGGAAGATTGCTGCAAGTTCGAGCCAACCTGAGCAGCATACGGTATTGAGTTCGAGGCCAGCCTGAATTACATAGTGAGCCCCTACCCCCTGCAAAAAAATAATTGGAAACAACAAATATAAGAATTTATAATAATTTCATTCTATTGTCAGAGAAAAAACTGTTACCTCCACTGCTTATTTAAATTAGTAGAAAATAAAATAATACCCTGAAAATCAAATCAAAAAATACCCTGAGAGGGCCGGGGATTTAGCTCAGTGGTGCTGCCACCTGCCTCTCAAGCACAAGGTCCCAAGTTTGATCCCCCATATCAAAAAACAACAACAAAAATACCCTGATCCTAGGGCTGGGGATTTAGCTCAGTGGTGCAAGCGTCTCGCAAAAGCAAGGTCCTGAGTTCGATCCCCGATACCAAAAAAAAAAAAAAATACCCGATCCTGCCATTTTCATTGTTCATTTTCCCACAAATAAGATTTGAATCCATTCTCAGTTCAACTAATCTTTGTAAAAAGAAACACAGAAGGAGACAGCTAGAGTAGTGGACGAGAATAAGACGGTGACTACCCAGAGAGATCATGCCTACCCAAAAGGTGAGTTATTCAGCTGAATTAAAAAATTATTTGGCCCAATATTTACTTACATCCATACAGACAGACAGACAGATGTACATATACACATGCATACGCTCATACAGACATACATATATACATACATAAATAGATGCATGTGGGCCTTTGGCCCTCCAGTTTTCAGCCCTGGTATTTAAAAAACAGCCAGGTAAGGTGACGTATGTCTGTAATCAAAGCTACTTGGGAGTTTGAAGCAGGAAGATGGCAAGTTTGAGCCCTGTGTGAAAAACTGAGTAAGATAATTTCTCAAAATAAAAAAGTTTAGTTTAGTGGTAGCATGCTTGCCTAGCACATGTGAAGCCCCAAATTCAATGCCCAGTGCTGCAAACAAACAAAAAATCTGGGACCAGATCCTCACAAATGATTGTCTACAAGCAAGCAAAAAGAAGGAGGGCTCAAAGGTGATTCCAAGTTTTCCTGGCTGAGTAACAAACTGATCCAAGAGTGAGGACACTTGGTGGCAGGAAGGGGGACGATTAGGACTCTGATGTTAGATTTGGTTTTTTCAATTTGAAATTGCAGAGTAATGCATTAGAAATTCCAAGTGGGCATTTGGAGATGTAGGCATAAGGCTAAAAAGCTATGTCTACAGCATTTGACTTATTCTTTGTTAAAAGATGGCATTCATAGGCTGGCCTGCGAGTGTAGCTCAGTGATAGAGCACTTGCCCTGGGCAAAGTACTGGGTTTATTCACTATACTGAAAAAAAAAAAAGCAGAATTCTTCTATACTTTGAGTTGAACTACTTCGTTAGTTCATTTATGCATTTATACTTTCATCTGAAGAGCTGCTTCATACCTTATCCCAGTCTGTTTGTTCAATTCCATAGGGAAAAAGGACTCTAGGCTTTACAGCAAATACATTAAAAATTAAATATCACATTTCATTGTTGAGTTTTGTCAATTTTGAGTTGGAACTATTATAGTGAAATGTCATGCATAGATTAAATCACATATAAATAAAGTATCAAAGAAGCCAATAATCCAAGGAATGGTTATTGAAGTTATTGAAAACACTTCACATAAATGTGAAAGAATAAAACAGGCAAACACAGAGACAGGAATATTTACACATTATTCTAACTCACTAAACATGAACTTTGCTCAACTTTAAGACCCAAGAATTTAATCACCAAAACTATGAGATCCAATAGTAAGAGCTTTCTTTATTAAAATCAGGGCTATCTCTGACTGGGTTTACAAAACTGGGTGGTTTCTCTATCACAGTACAAATACATGATTATGTGAAGAGTCAAACTTGGAATATCAAAATTTAAAATGTAAGAATCTGCTATATTTTACAAGTATTTTGGTTTGTCCTAATGGATGAAAATAACAATCACCTCTCTCCATTTCAATGGGATATTATGAAAATGTAAATACTAACACTATTTGTGAAAATATTTGGATCACAGAGAAAGAACTTATAAACCCTAGGCATTCTGTATTAATAAGGATCCAGCTTTCTAAGATAAATTATGTAGGAGTCCTTAAATGAATCTCCTGTCCTACTATAGTAACTCCCATATGGAAGTGCAATTAGCATCTCCCTCTTGCCTTTTTCCATAGAACCGCTTTTGATCTTTTAAGTATATTAAATACGCTTCCTTGCTTAGTCATTGGGATTCTATCCATTACATCGAAAGGGAAAACAACATAATTCCCATGGTTTTTCTATGTACCTTCCAAAATTCTTAACAGTGTAATAATCTCTAAATAAATATTTTTGAATTAAATTTCAATGAATAGAAACCAAGCTTATTGAACTTTATTTTTTATTTTTTCAGTATGTTTTTAGTGCATGCAGTTTACATGAAGTGGTCACATGTACACAGCTTGGGAGTAGTTACATGTACACAGGTTGTTTCTTTTTTAAATCTCCTTCCCTTCCCCCATCCCTCCTCCTCCAATTAATATAAATATTATATGCCACAACATGAGCTAAGATGAATAGTATCAACAAGAATGAATTTAAATCCTAAGCTTTCATACTGAAGAAAAGAGAGCAAGGCTCTTAAGAGATGAATATTATCTATTGTTCCAAAGTGCAACCTCCAGGTATTGGACATGTTTGTTGAGAAAATGAATGAATGAATGAACACAGTTTTAATAACACAAAAATTTCATCTAGAGTCTTAACTCAAACCCAAATATTTAACAATTTATTCTTCTACAATACAAACACAGGATATAAAGTGAAATGTAGGCTATAAACCAAGTGAGGATCATTAGTAGAAAAGAAATTCTCAGCTGAGACTGACTTCAAGAGACAATCAACCTTTGGCGTTTATTTTTAAAAAATCAAGTACATGATATGTGTAGTTTATAACAGTGTTTTTAATCTTTTTTCTTTATTGTCCCTCCACCCTGGGGGCCTTTTTAGATATTTTTTCCTACATTTGCTCTCCTGTGAAATTTTGATACTTAAACTTACCATACATGTCCTTATATATACCTTGCTTTATACATTAAAAAGTAGAGGTTTTTCTACTTTCTAAGAATCAATCCTCACTCCCCATTGAGACTGGATGCTCTTCTAGATTCTAGAACTATGTTTCTCAAGTTATGTCCACAAATATTGTCTGGAGAGTTTGAGGTGTTATCTCTCTTAGTTACTTTTCTCATTGCTGAGACAAAATACTTGACACCCAAAGTTAATGGGGGAAAGATTTATTTAACTGACAGTTTGTAAAGATTTCAGTTCATAATTGGCTGGCTGCAAGGCAGGGTAGAATGGCAGAGGAGAAATAGTTCATGGCAGGCAGAAGACACCAAAAGCAGCAAGCAGCAAGCAATAAGCAATGACAACAGCAGCTGTCCTCTTCCTGTACCTTATATTCTATCCAAGCTACCCATCCTTAGGGTGGGTAGCACTCACACCCAGGGTGGGGCACCCTTAATCCTAGCATTGCACTATGAATCAATCCCAGCATCACACTCTAGATCCAGCCACCTCTGCAAAGCCCCATCTATGACCACATGAGGCTTTGGGGGGACATCTAGACACAAGCCATAGCATTATCTTTCAAGAGAGATTCCTTACCAAGTTTAAGTAATGCTAATGCAAAATTTAAACATTGTTAGTTTATTGTATCACAGTGTCTTTAACCTACAGACAATGTTGTGTGTTGGACATTTGTCAATAAGTATCTACTCCACTATAGACTATAATGATAGTATTAATAATATCATCATATTATTAGAGAGCTCATTTAAATCTTTTCACAGTTAAAGTAATTTACTTGGAAAAGTTATGGGTGGTTTGTGCAAGGGACATGAGCTACATTGCTCTTGGATTTTTATTTCCTTAATTTATCTGATATATTACAATGCTTTACTTAGGAAAAAAATTAAAGGCCTGGGGCTTCCCTAACCACCATAAAGAAAACCTTGTCTGTCTCAAAGTGTTTATTAAATTAATGATAAACAGGAAAATCTTTCCATATAACTTAATAGTAATTAGAATGAGATCACTCATTCAGTAGAGATAGTTCAACTATTGGCATCAATTGACAGTTTCTTTCATAATTAATTTCAAAACGTTAGAATGTAGGCAATAAAATATTTTAAAACTAAATCTGTGAGTGCATTTCAAATGAAAAGCATTCTTTTTATTGTTATTCAAAAACCAGACACCTTCTAAATAAATATAGAAATAGAATAAATAGAAAAATATTTTCTATTTTTAAATAAAAATAGAAAAAATAATTGAAAATCAAGTTTCTCCACATTTTATTATTTAAATTCTTTTGTCAGAATTACAATATTGCAACCTAAATTTTTAAAAACATGAGTATATTCAATAATACAAAATCAGCAGATCTAATTCAAACAGTACTGTGATTATAATTAGCATCATAAAGTTTGCTGAAAGCTGGTGCTAAAGTAACTACAGTTTATAATTATTCATGTTGTAAAATGAAGAAAGTAGAAAAAACCTTTAAGAACCAAACTACCTCTATTTTAGGTCACTTCAGTGGAACTTCATAAGAAAACTTCCTCCCAATGCCTTCAAGAAGTACCATGATCTTCAGAAGCTGTAAGAAAAACTTTAATTCTTGATAATTAATTGACTAGCATTTCTTGAGTGTATCTGTCTCTTTCCACATTTTTAGAGACCTATAGTATCACTGCTTGAAAGCAAACCCTTTTTCAAGTAATTATTTATCTGTTAGGTAAAACAGCCAACAGCTGACTCCTAGGTAACATTTTTTTTTTCTGAGAAGTTCTAGAAGGCATTATAGAAAAATCTCAGGTACCAATCCCCAAAGCAACTGTAGCTTGTTGCTATGAATCCTCCATCACAGCCCCCCCACCAGGGGTCAATGGCCTGTTAGCAACTGCTATACACAACAGCAGGTTGGTGGTGTGTTAGGAGTCCAGCTTCATCTCTATTCCCAGTGACTCCCAATCGCTGGAGTCTTCAGCTGAGTTCCACCTCTTGTCAGATCAACCAGTCAGATTAGATTCTCACTGGAGCTCAAACCCTACTGTGAACTGCAAATGCTAGGGATCCAGGTTGCTTGCTCCTGTGGATCATTCCCAGACTATCCTTTCCACTAATCCATGGAAAAAATGTCTTCCATGAAACCAGTTCCTGGTGCCAAAAAGGTTGGGGACCACTGTTCTACCACACTCTCCAAAATAGCAATATGTACTCAGGAGCTTTTCACTCACCATCATTCTGACATGGGTACCCTCCAGTGCCCATCTTCGAGAAAGACTGGATGCTCTTTTACCAAACTCACCATCAAGGTTAGATAATGAAGACTGCTCTTCCACTGTTTGGAAATTTAGTCTCTGCCCAAGACAGCAGGTTGCTGTGGTTTGTAACCTCTGAGCACGCTGTTTAGGGAACTTGGTTCCATTCTCCCACCTGCCTGGTAGGATGAGTTTTATCTTGGCCTCAGGAGGTATTTGACATGCTTAGAGTCATGAGGGTACTCTTAAAATCCTCAGAGGCCCAGGTGATATTTATCTGTGTTAGGTCAACTTGTGACTAAATCATCTTGTTATATACTTGAAGTATTGGCTTCAGATGCTCTGTGCTTAAATCACACTATCTAGAAAATATCTTAGAATTCCTTGTTTCATTTTTATATGTATTGGTTTTAGTTTGGGTTTAACACTAGAGAAACTGGTATGTTAATATATATATGTGCATATTTGAAGATATCACATGGACACAATGCATGAAGTGTTCTAAAAACCCAGCTAAATATATTTCAGATTTGAAAATTAAAAGTCTAACAAAAATGGTTCCTCAGAACTCATTTTGAATATGTATCCATCAATTGAGAAGATCTTTGCAAAATTGTGCCTGCTGCAAAACTTCAAGAGAGTACTTCCTTATTCTGTCTTCTGATTTTGGGAGTCTACAGAATTTTTCTAATCTGTAGCACCACCTTAAGGCCACATGTTTAAAAGGAGTTAGACTATAAATCCAAATATCAACATTCAAGTTTATATAAGAGTGGCTTAGCATTTTTTTCACATTAAACATCAAATAAATTCTTGAACAGCCAATTTGTTCCAAGAATTAAAATTATCAACATAGCCTAACAACAAAAGGGAATCTAACTGGAATCTAACCCCTAGGCAATGCAATCTATTGCTTAGTCGATTCTTACAAAACTTAGAACCAGATAAATACATAGTTTTTCTGTGTATTAGTGAGAAAGAAGCATTACTTACTAACATGACTGAGTCCTCGCATGTCAAGTGAAATTGTCAGGTGCGTAATAATTTTTATAGTAACATTTTATAATCAAAACTAGGTCTTCTTGCCTACTAAGTAATAAGGAATCCTTTTGGTCAAAATTTTGAATTAACTGAAAGCTCATTCATACTGATTTCTCCCTTACTGCCTCTAAGATTTATAACAAGTTATGTATAAATTCAGGACACCCTAAAGAACAAAGATGATCTGAATTCTGAATAAAAATACAGACTTGACACCCTGAACCTTAGACCTGTACACATAGAAATGTAAAGCTTTATATGTGATTGAATAGGTTATATACTGGTACCTTTCTCTTTTGACCTCCAGTTAACTCAAGGTCAGAATTATCTTCAGTTACCTCTGCAAGCCTGCATTCTTGTCTAAACATTGAACTCTCATTTATATTTTTCCAGTCTTGATTTTTTAAATTTATATTTTTCTCTTTTGTCATAAGAAACATTCCTTATGAATGGCCTCAAACACTCAGTGGAAGAAGACTTGAGGTGCCAGTTTACTAAAATTTAAGTTTATTTGCTTGGAAGATGTGTGGTGAACATGGAATATGATTGGTGACATTAAAAGTGTCATGTACTTATAATTTTACCAGCACTATATTGAGTACTTACAAATTTGAATAATGATAACTGGAAATGTTAGAAAAATGTGGTTTCTAGGTTTGTCTGGTTAGTGAGTCCTTTACTATGCATTAAAGTTTTATTCCTAGAAAATCCAAATGGTAACTTTTTACTATTATTCATGGCCTAGATAACTAGAATTTCTAAGTAAAAACTAGCCTAAGTAAGCATACACGAATTTAATAGCAAAGTGAATGGCATGATATATAACTTCACTAGATTATTTCATTATGTTTATCAGTTTTCAATTTTGGTAAAATACACATAACAGAAAATTCACCTACTTCACCATGTTGGAGTTCCCACCGAGAGGCAGTAGCAGTGTTCATACTGTTGGACTACCATCTCACCCTCCGTCCACGGCACTCCTTCATGTGGCAAAACTGAAATTCTGCTTCATCGTTTTCCTTTCTAATAATCATTTTCACAGGTACTTGCAAAACAACCAGATCATATCTGTATCCACCTATGCCTTCAGAGGATTGTACAACCTTAATAAACTGTAAGTACCAGTGCTAATGAATGTGCCTATACCACGATGTGGTCAGCCTGACCCTTCGGGTCCAGTCCAGCCCACCTGCTCTCAACAGTGCGAGGCGGGCTGTAACAGGGGGGTGAAGGAACAGAGTGACACAGGGCCAAGATGTAAGACTGGAGACAGACAGGCTGGAGTCTGAGTCCGGGTCGCATCGCTGGGCAGGGGAATGGCGCTGGGAAATTTATCTTCTTTTCTATGCATTAGTTCCCCCTAGTGTAAGGTCCAAGTTAAAATAGTACCCACCTCCGGGTGACAGTAGGGGACAAAGGAGAACATCCGTAGGAAACTCGGTAAACAGTGAGAACAGTGCGGGTCAGCCATGGCGAGAGGAGTGATGGCTGAGTGAACTTAGTCAAAGCAAGGAAGCCCGATGAGGTGTTTGTAGAAGAAAAAAAGCCAAAGACTTTCCCAGTCGTCAGGTTTTTGTTTTGATTCCGTGTGTTCATTTCTGGGTGTGGGTGCTGGGGACGAGCCTAGGGTCTCACACATGCTAAGCACACGCTCTGCCCTGAGCTGCACGACCGGCCTTTGAGTGTTCCTCTTTCATTAGTGTGCTTTTATAAATATATAAAGCGCTGTAAAAGAGAAAAGCTTTTTATTGTGATAACATATACATAATATAAAGTCTACCATTATAGCCACGTTGAAACGTGTAGTTCCGTGGGATTAAGTAGACTGACACTGTTGTGTCACCCTCACCATCCTCTACTCCAGAGCTTTCTGTCTCCTCAGCAGAAACTCCACACCTGTTAAACAATAACTAACCATTTCTCCTCCCTCTAGCCGCTGGAGCTCGCCATTCTGCTTTCTGTTCCTATCAATTGACAACTCTAAGTGCTTCATGTAAATGGAATCATAAAATGTTTGTCCATTTGTGTCTGGCTTATTTCACGAAGCACAATGTGTTCAGCATCCGTCCCCACGTAGTAGCTGTTGGACCCTCCCCCTTTGTAAGCCTGAATAAGATTCCACTGACTGTGTACACCACACTGTTTCCCCAAAGCAGCTGCACTGTTTTACTTTGCCATCAGCTAGGAACAAGAGTTCAGTTTCTCCACATTTTTGCTTATTTTTTTTCTGATTTAGGGTTTTCTTTGTTTTACAATAACTGTCCTAATGGATATGAAGTGGTAGCACATTGTACTTAAGAGTAAAATTTTTAAAACTAGACTTTCTCAGAGATCCATTTCATTGTGTTCTACCAAATAGTCTCATAGAAGGAATAAGTGAAAGAAAAATGTAACCAAAAATTACATAAATAAATAATTTCCTGCCTTGGCATTTCTGTCCCTTTGTTTGTTATTCTTATCCCACTGTCTGTCCTACCCCCAAAAAACAACTCACTCCATCAGATTTTCAGTTGATAGTATTGTCACCTATTTCCTCTGCCTAAAATAACTCCTGCACATTCTTTTTATGTGTTTGTGTAAATGCCATGTTTGCATAGATAGAACTAAATTCTCTCTCTCATGCTTGCCAACTTCAGGGAGATGCTCTGTAGGAAAAGCAGGGCTTTGTGCTCTGCACTGCCTGAACATGAACATTGAATGCTTTCCTCTGGTTTCTATATGCTTCACATCCCATCCCATCTCCCCTCCAGATTCAGAGCCCCTCAAAGAACAGGATGATATGGTTCACACGATGCCATTGTGTTAGTCAGCTTTCTGTCACTATGATGACAACTTACCTGAGACAACTAACTTATAAGGAGAAAGGGTTATTTTGGATCACAGTTTTAGAAGGTCCAATCCATGATCATTTGGCCCTGATGCATGATGTCAGGGAGTGTGTGGTAGAGCAGAGCCCCTCACGTCAAGGTCAGGAAACAAAACAGAGAAAGAGGAAGAAGCCGGGGGCCCACAGTCTCTTTCATGCGCCCCTTCCTGGTGACCAAAGGACTTCCCTCCCTTGGGGCCCCACTGTGAAGTCCATGACACCTCTCAGTAGCACCACCCTAAAGACAAGACCTTTAACACGGGCCACTTAGGGCACATTTATCCAAACCAACACCACCGTAGAGTAGCAACTCAAAACAACTAGATAAATCAATGAAAACATAGGTTGACTGCCTCAACCTCCATAGCATAGGACCCTATGAAGCCAAGGAGAGCAGTGGGAGATGAAGGAAAGATGAAGAAACTATGACTACTCTTGAAGTTTGGGACCAGGTGGAACCATGGCTTGTTGGAAGCTAATGGCCACCTGGAACACCACGTGCTCTTTATTTATAGTGGAAGGCAAACAGTGCTACATGGCCCAGTGGCCTAGGTGGAATGTAGTGTGTTTGTTTTGTGATCAGGGCGTGCCCAGGAAGGGAACAGGGAAGGATACACAATGTAACTGTCTCCCGGGGCTGTGCCAACCAGCGTCTACAATATTGTGTCTGTTTGACTCCAATTTATGGAGGAGAAAGGAAGTAGGGAGGAGGCAAATGGCCATCTTCAGGCTCGGGCCACAGCACTCGATTAATTAATTCACTAATCATGGGGAAATTAAAAGCTACAGGTCATATAGGCTTTAAAATAGGAACTCTTAAAGCCTCAAAGGCAGAGGAAGTGGCATGATAAGAATGATAAATAATAAAATCTAAGATGAATGAGTTTTGTTTTATTGTTAATATGAAAAAAGTATAAATTGATAGTAGCTATTTCTCCTTTTCTAGGTATCTCAGTCATAACAGAATAACCTTCCTGGAGCCAGGTGTCTTTGAAGATCTCCACAGACTTGAATGGCTGTATGTTTCATTTATGTCATTTTACAGTATTCCTCTTTACATTCTAAAAATATATAAATGAATCCATTTTTTTCTTCTGGCTGGCAGGATCATTGAAGATAATCACCTCAGTCGAATTTCCCCACTAACGTTTTATGGCCTAAATTCTCTTATTCTCTTGTAAGTACTAAATTAAAGCAAATGTTTCAATTGAAAGAAAAGGCATGAATAAAAATGAATGCTTTAAGCATTAGCACATTAAATTTGGGACTATTAAAACTCCTAAAAGGATTTTTGAACTAAAAACTATCTCTTCATTATTTTCTCCAAGGCTATTTACAATTCTAACCATTTCATAAGATTCTCTACCTTCTAGAAAGTCAGCCCATCAAAACTGAATGTAGTCTTACTATGTGTTTTATTGAAATGCCCTTAAGCACACATTACTGCCATATATTATTGGTAAAGGCAAAGTATCATGATTGGTGAAGAAAACAATCATTTCAAATCACCTGCTTTTCCCAGCCCACCATTGATGGCCTCTGTTACCAACATCACTCTTCCTTCCACATGACAACTTCTGTTTGTAGACACTGTACTATCAAGCGCCTACACACACTAGGACATGCATAGGAAAACTTGCAAAGAGAAGACCACTAACTTAGTAGTCTGGCTTGGTTTCATAAGAAGACGGTAGTGTTTGGCACAGGATGAGAAAGGAAGCAGAAAAACGTGACAGCTGTGGTTTCTTCTCTTCTCAGGGTGCTGATGAACAACGTCCTCACCCATCTGCCCCATGAGCCTCTTTGCCAGCACATGCCAAGACTGCACTGGCTGTAAGTTACTGTGTATTTAAGAAGTCAGCTAACTGTTCTGGTTTTTGCCTAATTCGTTTCGTATCTCAGGGCTTTTTATATAATAGTTTGTTAGGTTTTTATCACATTTTATTTGGCACTGGGGATTGAGCCCAGGGCTTTCACACTGAGCTACATCCCCAGCCCTTTTTGTTTGTTTATTCATTCGTTTTGTTTTGAGGAAGGGTCTCTCTAATTTGCTAAGTTACCCAGGCTGGACTCGAACTTGCAATCCTCCTGGCTCAATCTCCCAGAGTGCTGGGATTGTAGGTGTATGCCATGTGCCTGGCTTCATGTCACAATCTTCAAGTTATTTTATCATATTTTTATATAAAACACTACCATTACTTAAATTCTCCAAACTCCTCCAAAATAAAATATCTCAAAAAATACACTGGAACCAGGAAGAAGAAAGAGATGTCACTAGATCTATACATTTATCCCTTGCCCCTGCCAGTTATGTTGGTACAGACAGAGTCATTTTAGTTTCAATCCTAGATTCTGAATAATAAGGATGTGATAATTAGTATTTTCTCTGAAGAGTAGCCACAGTAGAATATATTCCCTGGAATTCTTTACAAAGAGCTTTCTTGCCGTCAAAAGTACCATTCTACCATTCAGAATGGTACTGTTCAATTATCTAGTAAATTTTACCTTTAGAATATAGAGAGAAAGTAAAGAAACAAATAATCAAAATAACTATTAAAAAGTTCAGTCAATAAACCACATATTAGTATCACATGAAAACTTGCTCTGCCTCTTTTTTATTAGACATTTTCAAAGGTTTGTGGCTTGGTTTCTACATTCACAGCAGATTAGAAGTACCAAATTAAAAAGAGGAAAAAAAGAATCAGCAACATTGACTGTAGTACAGTCGGAAGCAACAGCCATCAGCTTGATGATAAAATAAAAGTGACAAATACCACAAAAAACAAAAATAATGACTCAAAATATATTAATTTGGAATTCCTCAGGGAAAAAACAAACAACTCAAAAATCATTACTAAATCCAGGAGCATCGTAGTCTGACAGTTTAGTACTTACTATATTAAACATTACTGACAAGCTTAAGTCATAAATAAAATGGCAAATTAATTTAATATCTTTCATTGTAATTGAATTTTGGCTCAAAGGATTATATTAATAGCTATTATATGCTAAGTAATGCCAGCTTACTCATGAAGCACAGTTGACCAATATTTACATAAATACAATAAATTAGCAATTAAAAATGTATACATGGAGTCTAAGACCAAATGTTAGTGGTATTATGCAATACAATAATAAAGCCTTTACTTTTTTCCCCCAGTACTGGGTGTTGAACCCAGAGCCTTCCCACTGAGCTACAAACCAGCCCTTTCTGCATTCCCTGTTTTGAGACTGTCTCACTTACTGGCTGAACCGCCCAGGTGAGACTCAAACTTGTGATTCCCCTGCTTCAACCTCCCAGAGGGTTAGAATTATAAGCATGTGCTACCAAGCATGGCTTTCCTTTACTTTTAAAAAGAGAGTGGGCCGGGGATTTAGCTCAGTGGTTCCGCCGCCTGCCTCGCAAGTGGAAAGCCCTGAGTTCGATCCCTGGTACCAAAAAAAGGAAAAAGAGAGTAAAATATATACCATGAATCACATAAAAAATGAATAAGATTTATAACTAAATAGATGGACTTTAAAAACTATGATACATAAAGTTGTTATCTGAAATTTTAGCTATCAAAATCAACTGATTCCATATGTAGTCTTTTTTTTATATACACTGGGGATCGAACTCAGGACCTTGCGCTTGGGAGGCAGGCACAGTGCCACTGAGCTACATCCCCAGCGCTCCATATGTATTCTTAATAATGAATATTATTCCACTTTTTTTTTTTGGTACCGGGGATCGAACTCGGGTTCTTGCGCTTGCGCAGCAGGCAGGGAAACCACGGAGCTAAATCCCTGACCAATTCCACTTTTAATGTTAGTAATAATATTTTGCTTTATAAGTATTTGTTTCTCTTAAAACTAATTCCAATATCATTACCTAGCACTTCAACATCCATTTAGTAAACAACAAACTAGAAAATCTGACAAATTTGTTTTAAAAAATTTTAACTCTGATTTCAAGGAAAATACATGTAAAATAACAAGTCATAATAGCTCAAGAGATTATGCTTGCAAGATCCATGACAGACAATAGATTAAAATCTTCAACATAGTTCTTTCAAAGCCATAAAAAAATTGTAAACACTACAATAGAAGCTGGAACATTCAAAAAGAAAAACATGTAAGTAATAAATATGCAGAAGAACATAGGACAATAGTCAAAGGTGAATTAAAGGTCAAGAAAGCAAACTTTCATTTTGAGATGAAACTAAGCAAGTTTATTTATTGGCAGCAGAAGCCAACATAAAGAATTAGAAAATAGGGATAAATGATAGTCAATAAGAATAAATAACAAAGCATGGTACTAAAAGACAGAAAAAAAGATGGAAAATAAAGTAACACACACACAGAAGTGAAAATGAATAAACTAGCACTACTTGAATTAACATGGCACAATTCAAAGAACATAAAATGAATTACAGAGAAGAATACAGAGATGAATACATGGAAATATTATAACTCTATCCCAACAATATTGGGCATAGGATACAGAAAGCCACATGACCACCTTGGTCCCTCTCTGCCAATGAAAAAGAGCTTTAAAATCTACAAAGTTCTAATTTTCTGGAGGTCATCAGAGAGCTACAATTGTAAGACAACCAAGTAAATGCAATTCTAAGGAGTGACAAGAAGAAATGAGACATATAGACCACTTCACTTTTAACAGAGCACAGGGGAAAGAGAAGGTTATTGTAAGAGCAAATAAGAAAAAAACTGCTAAAATTCTAATGAACAGGTAAAGTAAGGCATAGTGAAACACTTTCAAATAACTGGGAACCCCATTTTCAAGGGAAGTCAGTTCTCTCAACAGGCTGGCTTTCACTGGCCTCCAGCATTTCACAAGAAAAACTCAGAGAAGGTGAGGAAATCTTGCCAGCAAACAAACATAAAATATTCTTCCCTAGGGTGCTCTTTCTTCAAAAGCAAAGCACTGCAGAGGGACAGGAAATCTTCCTGTACCCGGGGACCAGCCAAAGATGCAGTTTCCAGAGGAGAGGGAGCAACTAGAGACCCTGCCCCCTCTCCAGCCCAGGGTCCTACTCTGATACAAAGCCGTGAGTGGTGCTTTCCTACATCAGGCCAGGATACTGTGTTAGTCAGCTTCCCATTACTGTGGCAAAATACTTGAGAGAGTCCCTTTAGGAGGAGGAAAGGTTTCTTTGGCTCATGGTTTCAGAGGTTTCAATCCATGGTCAGTTGACTCCATTTCTTTTGCGTCTGTGGTGAGGCAGAAACATCATGGTGGGGGCTTGTGGTAGAGCAAAGCTGCTCATCTCATGGTGGCCAGGAAGCAAAAGCAGAGCAAGAGGAGGAACCAAACTGCCAATATCTCCATCGAGAGCCTGCTCTCCCACTGACCCGACTTCCTCCAGCTAGGCCCTGGCCCTGAAAGGTGACCGAGGTTTTCACACATGGACCTTGGGACACTATCCAAACCATAACACTTAGGAAAGGGGATGGTGGGGATAAGGAGAAGCAATGCTGAGGAGGCCCCATCTCCAAACAGCAAGGAAAGGTCCTTGGTCAAATTATAAAGCAGTCAACAGAACCAGAGCTAATAATCATTCAGATGTTACAACTTCCAGATCACTAAAATACTCATAATTGGCAAATAGAATAACACAGTAGAAAAGCTGGACAATACAATCGAACATATCGAAAATGTCATCAAAGAGATGGAAACTATGCAACTGAATTCAAAGATTATTTCTACAGGCTTAACAGCAGGCTGAATATAACTGAGGAAGAATCACCAACTTGAAAATCAGCCAATAGGAAGCTTTCCAACTGCAACAAAGAGAAAAGAGAGTAAAATTAAAACAGAACAGAAATCTAAGCACTGTGGGATAATATAGAATAGTCTAACAGAAAAGTAAGTAGAGTCACAAAAAAAGGAAGAACAGCACGGAAGAAATTTGTAGAGAAATAATCACCAAGAATTTTCCAAAATTAACATAATACAACATTCCAGAAATCTAAGAACCTCAGAAAGACCCAAGCAGAGTAGGAAAAAAAACAGATGGGCCATAGTCAAACCGCTGAAAACCAAAGGTAAAGAAAAACTTCTTAGGGCAACCAGACAAATAGAACAAAGATAAAAATGCAATACTCATTTTTAAAAGAAAACTAGAAGTCTGTGTTAATATTGGGAAAAGCAGAGTTCAGAAGATTGGGGATAACAAGGAATATCATATAAAGATAAAAGAGTTGTTGAGCAAGGAGACATAATAGTCTTAAATAAGTGAAGAGCTTCAGAATACATGAAGTAAAACCATAGAACTGAAATCTAGGAATCAAGAGATGACATTTAAAACCAACAAAATCCATGTATTGATACATAAATGATAGATGGTAGACAGATAATTTATTCTTTTTAATTTTTATTTTTTATGAATACGTGCTTGCAGTACATAATAATGATTACATTCATCATGGGGAGTGGTACATGTACCTAACACATCTTAATTATTTTTATGTCCTCCTTTCCCTCCCCCTCATAATTTGATATTCTTAAATTGAACTCTAATAAAAAGCCAATAATTGGCAAATATCATATAAGAGAGGTAGAAGAGCAGAAAGAAGACATTATATACTTATTTCTCTCCTTTCTTTCTTTCTCTCTCTCTCTCTCTCTCTCTCTCTCTTTTTTCCTCATGCTGGGAAGTGAACCCACCGTCTTATACATGCTGAGCAAGTGCTCTACTACTGAGCGATATCCTCAGCTCTAATTCCATCATTTTTTCCTTTTTTTTAGGAGTACATGTGTGTAGTACAAAGCATTTACATTCCTCATGTGAAGCTAATGCATGCACATAATCCATCTTCCTTCCCTTTTACCCCCTCTCCCTTCCCTCCCTCCCCTTCCATCTGTCTCTCCTTCCCCTTCCTGGTGTTCTGTTTTGCTTTGTGTATGTGTTTGCAGTGCATAATGTTTACATTTGCAATCGCTCTGTGGAGTCCGTGCATGTGCATAACACATCTCAGTTCCTTTCTTCATCCTCCTTCCCTCCCCTCCTTCTTCTCTCCCTCCATTTCTAAACACTCTGTCAAAAGAAAGGAAAGATATATTACACTGGGTAAAGTTATTAGAGAGGTAATCAAGAGAATATACAAACCTTTCTAAATGTCAGAAAAAATAATTTTAAAAATAATTTTGTGAAACCTTTTTTTTTAATGTATCCAGAATATAATAGTGTTTTTGTTTGGGGATTATTTTGTTTTGTTTTGTTTTGTATTTTTGACATGGAGGATTGAATCCAGGGCCTTCACACTGAGGCATATCCACGGCCTTTTTTCTTTGTTTGTTTGTTTTGGGTGTTTTTTCTTTTGTTTTTTATTGTTGTATTTTGTTTGGGGACAAGGTCTCACTAAGTCACTGCTAAATGACTCAGGCTGGGGCTCAAATCTGTGATTCCCTTGCCTCAGACTCCCAGAGTGCTGGGATTACAGGCTTTGGCCACCATTCCTGGCCATGCAGTAGTATTTACAGTATTTTAAAATAGTGAACTAAGGCCAACTTGAATGAGTATTTCTCAAAAGGAGACACACAAATGGCTGGCAGGCTTATGAAAAAAAACCTTTCACATTACTAATCATCACCAAAATGCAAATTAAAATCACAGTAATAGATTCCATCTCAAACCTCACAATGGCTTTTATCAAAAATAACAGATACCAAGTATAGACAAGCATGTGGAGAAAAGACAACAGCCCTTAGTCACTGAGTATAGCTACGTTGGTGGCAATGTAAATTAGTGCCATTATGGAAAACACTATGGAGGTTTCTCAAAAAATTAAAAGTAAACTACCCTCCGTTCCAGGAACTCTAATTCTAGATATATATCTAAGAGAAATCAAAGCTGGATGTCAAAGAGATATCTGCACTCTCATGTTCACTGCAGCACTATTCACAACAGCCAAGAAATGGAACCTAAGCATGACGAGCAGATAAAGAAAATATGGCCTATCTGCACAATGCAATTCTATTCGGCCATACAAAAGGAAATGTTGCCATTTGCAACAACATGGATGAACCTAGAGGACATTATACTGTGTGAAATAAACTGGATATAGAAACACATGTACGAAATGATCGCGCTTACATGTGGAATCCACAATGGTCATGCTTATAAAAGCAAGGAGTAGACCGGCAGTTGTCAGGAGCTAGCTGGGGTGCTGGTTGTGAGGTGGAGAGATACTAGAAAAGGATACAAAAGTTGGGTTAGACAGGAAAAATGTGTTCAGGAGATCTGTTGTGCACCACAATGCCCATAGTTGATAACCACGTACTGCATACTTGAAAATTGCTAAGAGAATAGATTTTATACATTCTGACTCAAAACATAAATAAGTGAGGTAATGGAGATGCTGGTTTGATTTATCCATTCCTCAACGTGTATAATGTAGCAAAACATTGTGTTTTACAGTTTAAATACATACAATCTTTAAAATACACCTTGTGAATGCAAACAAAAAAGCAGGCATTGTATCTATCTATGTAGGTGAGATCCTGGCCAACTTGCTTTAAACACAAATAAAGACATTCAAGTTAGTCAGCTTCATATCACAGGAACAAAATACCTGATAGAACTATCTTACAGAGAGAAAAGGATACTTTGGCTCACAGTTTTAGAGGTTTCAGGCTGGGACCAGTTGGCCCCATTGCAGTGGTGAGGCAGCTCATCGTGGCAGGAGGAGCCTGACGAGCAAAACCACCAACATCACCGACCAGGGAGCAAAGGAGAGGAGAAGGAAAGAACTGGGTTCCCACCACACCTCCAGTCACAGCCCCAGTGGCCCCAGCGAGGACCTCCACTGTGCCTCGCCTCCTGAAGATCCACCCCCTTCCCACAGCACCACTGTCGGGACCAAACCCTCAGACGTAGGCGCTGACGTAATATCCAGACTACAGAAACACTTCCATGCTTCTGCTGCAACTTCCAATGAGAGATGTTATGTTATGAGCACATATGCACCAAAGGGATTCATGTAGCAAAAGAAGAAAAAGGAAAAGTAGGCTTACCTAGGCAGTAAGAGATAATGGAGCCGGGGTTTAGCTCAGAGGTTTCGCCACCTGCTGTGCAAGCGCAAGGACCCAAGTTCGATCCCTGGTACCAAAAAAAAAAAGAGAGAGAGAGAGAGCTAATAATCCACCAACCACCTCTCAGTCCATGAAAGGTCAAATATACCCAAGCAAAGATATGGAGAAGTAAACAACATAATTAATAAGTTAAGTCACCTAAATAGATATTCAGCCACAATGCCTCTTCTCAGTAACAAAACTTTTAAATTTAGAACAGTAACGTACCTGGGTAAATTACCACATTCTCAGACTTTCCTAAATTTCCAAAGAGCCACAAGCTTACATTCAAAGGAGGTAGAAGTGGTGAGTGGAATTTCTGGAAACTTTTCTTAAAGACAACACAGCTAATGCCTTCTTCCTCGTCTAGAAAAAAAATAACAACAATAATAATAATATAATAGCAAAAGCTTTAACAAAGACTACAAAGATAGGACATGAGAACACTGAATCTAAAAGATCCTTGGATTTGTAATGATTTTGCAAAACTACCATCCCAGCTCTGAACTGCTTCATTCTATTTTTCTCTTTGAAAAAAAACTGTGTATTTGTGCTAGTCTGGTCAGGTTTCTTCTGCTCTATGTACCTGCAACTAACCCTAATAGATATAATCTTGAAAGCAAAGCATACTCACCAAAACTGACCATATATTTTAGGGCATACACATACACAAACCAAACTCAAGAACAGATGGAGGGTATGGCCTAGAGCAGGAGGAGGGCCACCTCTCCTCTGACACCAGAAGGAAACCAGCTGCCTAGACAGGTGAGTTTGTAGCCGGGCACAAAAGTTGAGAGCTTTTCCTTCTTCGTCATCTCAATTTTTCCTATGAAGCAGAAGCCAGAATGTTTTGATTAAAGGCAGGGAAAGAAGCAGAGAGAAGGGCTTGAAGATTTGCATGTTTCCAAGTGACATTAGGAGAACGATAGGAAGTTGAGTGCAACAGCCTGGGTCTTTGATGGCTTTTGTTTTTGCTTCATTGAAAATTTCATTTTCAGTTCTGCCATGTAAAAAGGAGAAATAAAATGATTAAGTCCAGAGGCTTATAAGTGGGAAAGGTGGTGGGCTAGACACACAGCAGGAAAAACACTCTGTCCTTTAGAGCTAGGAGCCGGAGAACAAGCAGCAGAGTGGCTTTGGTTTTGATGTTGTTGTTATTTCCTTGGTTACTATGTGTTCTGCAAATCAAATTCCTGTGCAGCAAAGACTTAAACTTAATTTTAGAAAGTCAAAGAAAATTCACAACTAAAAGTTAAAGTGAACTCCAATGAAGCAAACAGTTTAATCAAAACACCCTAATTTGTGCCTCCTACTGATTTGCACCAATCAGCAAGTTAGTACTAATAAATATTTTTGCAGTTTAATAGCAAACAAAGTAGCTAAACTCTTGAGAGTGTTCTGTGAAGCTTGAGAGCGCATCACCACCTGGTGGTAGCTTTGTGGTAACGGTTAGCAATAACATCGGTAAAGGAGCAAAAGTCTCCTGAGACACCAAAAGCCTTTTACCAATGAAGTAGTACCATAAGGAGTGGCAGAAGCACTTAGCTCCCCCATTTTGGGGGGGTCTTGGGAATCAAACTCAGGACCTAGCACTTGCAAGGCAGGCACAGTGCCACTGAGCTAAATCCCCGGCCCTAGCTCCCATTTCATAAAGGAACAAAAATGTTTCTTTAGAAGGGTGATCTAGAATCCAGAGTTATTCTACTTCACCATCCCATGTAATATCGAAATCTTATCTACAAAATTATCACCTTTGTCAAATGCGTACAGTAATAGGAAGGTAATTCTCTGGACACCGTAGTTTGCTAGGGAGGGTGGGCTTCAGTTTGAAATAGGTTGTGTCTTTCAACTGGCAGGTCTAATTTTATTCTCTGATGAAACATAGGAAAATGCTGCTACATTTTACAGTCTGGCTTACTCTCAATATATTCTCTCTCTCTCTCTCTCTCTCTCTCTCTCTCTCTCTCATTATAAATATACCCTTTTCTTCAATCAACTTGATTTTTAGATCCCTTTATCCTAGTCTTCCAGACTTCCAGATTTGGTTTGCTTTGTCAGTGTCTATTTTAAATGCAGTGCCCCAAATGGAACTGCCTCTGCCATCTGTACCCCAGCCGGCAGAAGGCAGGCATTTCTGTCTGTGCTACCGTGTTTCCCTTACAGAGGTTAGTAGCTAGAACACTTCTGCTCCTATACTTGAGCCACAGTTTTTCCTGAACAGCTTTATGCTGCCTGGCAGCTAGTAAACTAAGCTGGGGCATACCGAGTAGATTTAAGAGCTAGTGTTTACTTTTGAAGGTGCAGTGTGTCACCAGATCTCAATGAATGCTTTTCCTCTGGTTTACAAACTTGTACCACTTTCCTACTTCAAAGAAGGGGCTGAGGATGTAGCCGAATGGTGGAGTGTTTGCCTGGTATGCAAGGGGCCCTGAATGTGCACTCCAGCACTGCAAAAAATAAAACTGATCACATAAATGATTCTTTGGACAAATTTGGATGATCACACCCAGGCTCCTTGTGGGGACAGAGTCACACAGCAGGGCCTGGAAGAGGCTCTAAGAGCAGCTCCCCAAGCTGAGAGTGGAGCGCTTAGACCGAGCTGCCATTTGCTCCACACTGGACTTTGTGCCACTGTGAAAAGTCAGCAAAGCTGTCCCGTTGTAGGGAACAGGGAAAGGGGATGTTACTACAACCTCTGCAGTAAATCCTAGTCCTGTGAGCCACGGCAGCACAAGGCGAATTACAGGAAAGCGAGAAAAATGAGACTGAGAAGAAGCTGAGCTTTGGGTCTGATCAGTGCTGCTCTGGGGGCAAAGACAAAAGCCCCAGTTTAAGACCCCAGCTTACCCCACCTTTTATTTAGTATATCTGGAGAAACAAATGTAACAAATGACTGGCAGAGAGTTCAGTACATCCTGCGGAAATAAGATGCAACAATCCAAGAACAAGGAGGAACTGAGTAGATGTTTGTTCCTCCCAGGATGTCTTCAGCTGGTGTAATCTTGTCCTGGAGAATCACGGCATCACCGGATCACTGAGGTCTCACTTGTGACCGGAGGCCAAAATTGACTTATGTCTCAGAATTCCATAGCTGGGCTGTAGGCAGGAGAATTAGGCTAACCAAATGATTTTACCCTAAAATTATGTAGCATTGCTCCCAACATCCCGTGGTAAAAGATGACTAAGAATTCTCTTCTGGGGGCCAGGGATTTAGCTCAGTGGTTTCGCCGCCTGCTGTGCAAGGGCAAGGACTCAAGTTTGATCCCCCCTACCAAAAAAAAAAAAGAATTCTTTTCTGGGAAGAATTTAGCCCACAATGCCAGGAGCTAAATACTCTTCTGGCAGTAGCAGCTCCGCAACAATAACAGAATTGTGTGCAAAGTCTGTAACAAAATGGGATCATAGCACTGAGGGAAGAACCAGGGATAACGGACAGATCCTTAATATCTTTCTCTGCTAAGTATCTATTAATAAGTTAGGTATTTACCATAACAGTGGTTTTTAGCTTGACTTCTCATTCTCTTCTTTCTCAGAATAATACACATGTTCCCATAAGCGTGTGGTACAAATGCAACTCAAAACATTTTTACTGTCAACAGAAAAAGTATGATATATATATATATCTACATATATATGATATATAGGATACATGCACAAATACGTGTATACTACGTAATTTAAGCTGTTATATAAGTGGCTACAAGTTAGTCCTTATGAGGGAAACATAATGTGAAGAATACATTTTAATAAAAGGAAAATAATTCTTAACCAATTTATTTCTGTCTATGATTACAATGTAGCTTGGTCATGTTTTATTTTTATGTTCCAGGGACTTTGAAGGCAACCATATCTATAATTTAAGGAATATGACTTTTATTTCCTGCAGTGATTTGACTGTTTTGTAAGTAATATTTTTTGCTTTTGAAGTAATGTTCTATCTCCTTACAGCCAAATAGATCATTAGCATGGGCAGAAATCAGCCAAATGTGTGCGTGGGGCAGAAAGGTGTGATTTCTCTCCTCCCATACCGTAAGAGTCTCTGCTGTCTGCCAACATTCCTGTAATAAAAGTCAGGTTAACAAGAGAAAAGCATGACAGATTTAATTAATCAAAGTTTCATGTGGCACAGAAGCCCTCAGAAATAGAGATCCAAAGACCCAGGGAAAATTGTCCATTTTTGTGGTCAGGTTCAAGGAAAAATGGACAGCCATGTAGAAATGTGACTGGAGACAAAGGCTATGACCCAATGGTAATAGAGCAAGGGTGGAAACCCAGCCAGAGTGCATGGATTCCTTCCTCTCATGGGTGGGCAGGACCTTCCCGAAATGAGGCTCACAAGACCTTCATCCAGACAACAGGTCAGAGTTCTCTAGGGCCAGCTCCCACAGTGAAGGAGGGGGAGGCTAGAGAAGCAATGCTCGGCCCTATGGCTGATCTGGCAGGGGGGAATTCTGGCTCCTGCAGCCTGGCCTGAGGAAAAAGGGGAGCAGGAACAGAAGGACAGAGGGACAGAGGGATAGAGAGATCGCCTTTCTGAGGCTCCTCCATGTCCTTCAGCTCAGAGTCCTCAGCACTCCAGGGCACCATATTTGGGTATCAGTTCCTGAGCCCTTGCACAGGCGTAGTGTGGCAGAGTTTCACTCAGAATTCATGTTTGGTAAAACCCAAAGATAGGAGGTTCAAACCCAGGGAAACCTCAATTTAAACACACAGATCAGCACTCTGGCACTGTATTATCTGAGACCTGTTGTGCTCAAACTTCGGTAATATGCAGACCCACTTTAAAGGAAAGAAATTAATTCTCACAGAATCTGTCCTTCGACCTCAGTTGAGAAGAGCTAAATCAACATCTTGGTATTTTTCCTTGATGATTGTAACAAATCAATTGGAAAATTTCAGACAGATAAAGAATTCCATTGGAGAGCTTTATGTTTCTTTTTTAATTCAGAATTTTTCCAAGGTCTAGTTTTTAGTTGCAAACTTGACTGAAATATTTCTGTTGGTCACCACAATCAAGGATATTTAAAATCACTACTGTGTTGTGCTGCATATTTGGGGGCAGGAGGGACAAAGTTAAAATATTCTTTTGTAACTGGGTAAATATGCATTTTAATAAAATATTGAGATTTGCCAGTCAAAAAAATGTTTTCAAATAATGCAGAATGGTCACCCCTGAGGACATCACTATGGATGCCGGGATATAGCATGGGATGTTAGGGAGTATGCTTCCCTCCTGTCTGTCTGGCCTATTTGCCATCCCATTGCCTTTACTTTCTTCTCTCTCTCTCTCTCTCTTTTTTTTTGTACCAGAGATTGAACTCAGGACCTTGTGCTTTCAAGGCAGGTGTTGGAGCCACTGAGCTAAATCCCTGGCCCTATTGCCTTTACTTCCTGTGGGAGTAAAGGACACTGGGCCCCCTTGGGTATAAACATCCAACGCTCCATCCAGTTTATTGTCCCAGAATGCTTTTCAGACTGTTGGTTACAGCTCCTAAGCAAAGTACCACAATCAGCATGGCAAGTCATGGCCAGCATTTTTCAAATGAAGAGAACTGAATTGGATAGATTATGTCAGAGTACAACACAGATATTAAATGTGTTGTTTTCATAAGTCTTGGGTTGTGTGTGCATTTTATATCTCAATGTAAAACACATTTTTTACTGGGGACACCATGGGAAAAGTTTCAAAACTATCATCCTAGAGTACACAGGACCGCATGTACAGACATAGCTACCATTGATGGAATGATGTATTTTCTGCAATTATGCCCCACATCTGGATGGTTCCAAGCCACTGAAAAGTCTGAAATCTTCCACTGAATGAACTCAGCCATCTTCAGATGCAGGGCACCTAGGATCAGTCACACAAAATGGTTCATGTCAATTGCCCAAAGAACATCAGAGGGCACCTAAACAACACAGGCCCCATAGACATCTAAAAACCTTAGAATCTCTTTTCTACTCATATTTATTTTTATGGAAACTTCCATATGAAGAAATCACTTCTGAGTTTCCTGAGTCTGCCGGTGTTTTTGGTTTTTGCTCCAGTTTTACTGGAAGAATGAGGTAATGATTTGGATACTGGGAGGAATTAGGTATTTTAGGATGGCTTAAGGCCAACTTGAAGGCACATCACATTATGCTTAACAAATTGGAAACACTTGAGAGTTTCCTAGAGTTAATTCCTTACACTGGCTGATCTGGTGACATGGGATCAGTGCAGATGTGGCCCGTCTTGGGCTGGAGGTGTGGCTCACATAGAGAATGTGTCAAGCATGCATGAGGCCTCAGATTCAACACACACACACATGCATGCACGCACCCACACACCCCACAGGAGCTACAGTCTGATGCATATTCCCCAACTAGTGAATTTCTGAATTGGTCCAGGTTAGATCAGTCTTCCTTAGGCAGCTCCACGCTAAAGCCCATCAAGTCCCAGTGAGTAGCAGTGCTGTTGAGTGAGGAGTGTTCTATTAGACACACTGTGCAGACTGAGCAGATGGGTCTCAGATAGCTCCTCACACAAAATATCCTGTCTGTATCCTCGAGTTAAGGTTTTCCCTCTTTTCCTTGTGAAGCTCTTCCCTATTTCTATGAAAATTTTGAATTACATTTTATTATAATCCTCACTACAAAGATTTGAGAAATTTAAAATTAAAATTGTATTGGATAATTGATCACACTACTTCCAAACATCTCGATCTGAAAATGCACTCTATAGTTAGTATATTTAGTATCTTTGTCTTCATAGACTGCTGGTCTCTTCATAAATACATATAATAATTACTTCAAGATGGTAAAATATATTTTTCTCTTTACTTTCAGGGTACTGAGAAAAAACAAAATCAACCACTTAAATGAAAATACTTTTGCACATCTCCAGAAACTAGATGAATTGTAAGTTTGACTAAATACATAATGTTAAGAATTTTCTTTCTACTGTTTTATTTCCTATTTGCTATACATATATGTGTTTATATTTTTTCTATTTTCTTTTATATTTATTAGCATAAGCTTGCCATATATAATATTTACATTTCTTGTGTGGGGTTGGTATATGTGCAGAACACATCTTAATTCCTTTTTTTCATCTCCTTTCCCTCCACTCTCCCTCCATTTCTTGATCCCTTTCCTATTTGAGAAATATATATCTCCTTACTTCCTATTATCTATCTTTTATTTTGCTCTTTATTTATATTTTGGGTTGCTCATAAAGAGAAATTATCCATTATTTAAGCTTACGTGTCTGATTTATTTCACTTAACATTATGGTCTCAAGGTGCATCTATTTTCCTATGAATGGCTCAAATTTATATTTTTTATGACAAAGTAGTACTCCACTGTGCATAATTTTTAAGAAAATAATAATATCCTCTTTGAAAGCATTATTTATATGAAATGGGTTACAATGAAATTCAGGCAGCTTGCAAAAATAAACATAAAACAAAAATATCAAATAAATATTTGAAGGGGCTGGGGATTTAGCTCAGTGGTTCCGCCACCTGCCTTGCAAGGGCAAGGTCCCAAGTTTGATCCCCAGTACAAAAATAAAATAAAATAAATATTTGAAAAAATAGGATAAGGGAAACAACTATAGAGAAAGAATAAAACCAGGGCAAAATTAATAAATAAAATTCATCCTATACAACTCTGCTCCAAAAGAACAGCAATTTTATCTTTAAGTTTTCTAGAGGATTAGGATTCAGGAACCATTAAATTAAAAGACATCACTCAGATACATAAGGAATTTAGACACTCCTGTGGATAATATCCCTACCTGTGATAATGGAAGAGATAAGTTAAAAAATAATCATTGTATAATTTCCATTTTGAATATCAATGACATAATTACAAAGGGCATTAAAACAATTCTATGCTGAACCAACCCCTTAAGATATTTGCACATGAATAAAATAGCCCTGGAACTTTTAAGGTCAATATTTATTTTTTTTAGTATCAATTTTCTGGAAAGTAAGTGGAGAATAGACAAATCTACATGTTTTGACAATTATCTGGGCAGAGCTCCAATTTGTTAAAACTTTTCCATGAGACATAGAGAATATAACTAGAATATTATGAACATAACACCTGGATGCTATTCCTAAATCCTGAGACGGGTGGAGGGAATCCATGTCACGAGCAAAATGTTTTTTTAAAAACTTTATTAAAAAGTACTGTATTCTGCTCTGAAACATCAACAGTCAGGCAATTGAAAATCAACATTTTCCTATAATCACTCACAAAATATGAAAGAAGATCTTATTAAATAATTAGAACCAAGAGCCTGTTGTAAGAGATGATATATGGTAATTGAACTGTCATAAGCACATAGAAAATGATTTTCAGTAGTAGAGATATGTGTAGGTGATCAAAAAGCATTGCCCCACAAGGCTGGAAGTAGGCTCTGTGTATCTGTCTAGCGTGTGCAAGGCCCTGGGTTCCATGGGCAGCACCGAGGTAAACAACAGCAACAACAAGAAAGCACTCGTGTCAGGTGTGCTGATGCACGTCTGCAATCCCAGCACGCTAGGGAGCTCAGGCAGGAGGGGGCTGAGTTCAAGCCAGCCTGGGCAAGTTATCAAGAACTCGCCTCAAAATAATATAAAATAAAACGTTTTTAAAAGGGCTGGGGATGTAGCTCAGTATGAAGGCTCAGACTGAACCTGAATTCAATCCCCAGTATTACAGAAGAAGGTACAGGTATCAAAAATACTATCCAGCTGTTAAAATACAAGTTAGTCAAGAGATCCATATTTTCCTTGTTTAATTCAGGTAAAATCACCACCAAAATATCGGAGGACAATTCCTCCAAATCCTAACCTTCACAGCGGCAGCCAGGGTGTAGATTTTATACACCAGTAACCAGCAGAGGACACGGAACGTGTTATAACTTTGTGCATAACCAGTGCTAATCCGGGTTCAGAGGCGGAGGGAAGAACAACAGAGGCTCGGGATGGTAATCCAAGCCAATGACTAGTCCAGCCTAACGCCTGCCTCATCCCACCTTAAACTCTTTCCTGAAAAGAAAAATCAGATTTACAAAAGTAAAAATGCCAAGTTGCCCAGAGATGCGGGATTCCAATGGGTGGGGGTGTCGCTGAACTCCCTTTGTGAGGAGGTTTCGCCCCTCCAGGCTCAGATACACCAAGGGCGCTCGTGAGTGCCGTGAACACACTGGTGACACCTGGGTTCACTTGTCACTCAGGAATTAGTCATTTTCTTGTGACAGAAAATCTTTGCCACATGCTCGCTTTTATTTGTGGATTGGGAAAATTATTAGGCTTTTTCTTTTATCTGGGCGAGCTCAAGCTTACAGAAACTTTCCTGTTTAGAAGAACCTGAGGCCAATCTCACGAGCTCTGCCATTGTCAAAACTACCCCGAAAGCTGCTGCTGTTGGAAAACTTCTTACAACTGAGCTGCAAGGTCAGATGGTGTTAGGCAGACCCTCTACACGCGACAAGTGGCACAGAGTGTTCTGCCAGGGGGCAGAGCAGATCCTGTGCTTTTCACTGCAAGGAAACGTCCACTTCAACAATACTCTTCCATTTACTAATCACAGTAAATACAAGCAGAAGAAAAAGCTAAAGCTCCAAGCATATGTAGCATAACACAAAAGGAGCAAAAGAAGGAAGGGAAAAGAAGGGACACGATACACATATTAATTCGACACAGAAGGTTATATGTCACGTGATTTCTCTTATATGAGAAATCCAAAGTATAAACACTTTGAAGAGCAAAATAACAGATATGACAAGGAACAAGGAGATACATTGTGTGGGGATCGGAAGGAGATCCGGAGTCCAGGGGAGCAGGACAGAGAGGAAGGGAAGGGAAGGGGAGAAGGATCGAGATGCAATATGGATTTGCACCTACTCCCCACCCACGGTGGGTGTCTGTTCGTGTATCACAGATATATGCGATTACAGAGGGAGAGAAGGGAAACCGATCCTAGTAAGACTAAATACCACGATGCATTTGTCTCCGAGAAACTGATGAAGTGGGATACAGAAGTTCAGTGCTTTCCATCTCACTCCTCTTGGCCCTAGTCTCCGTGGGGCAGAGTTGTTGCTTGGGGAGCATACACCTAGCCCTGCAAGAGGCCCTGGTTCCCCACGCAACATCAGAAAGCACTTTTAGACTTTTGGTAATTACCGCAACTCACCAATGGCATTGTGGAGAAGTTGCATAACGGCTTTATCATGAACTTCAGAACAACTGAATAAAGTCTTCGGGAAATAATAGGACATGTTTGCAATTATTTCCGCAGGGATTTAGGAAGTAATAAGATTGAAAATCTTCCACCACATATATTTCAGGATCTGAAGGAGCTGTCACAATTGTAAGACTGCTATTAATTTTACACTTCATTTCTTTATTATTTTTTAAATTGTGGTAAGATATACACAAAATTAACCATTTAAAATGTGCGATCGAATAGTATTCACTATATTCACATGGTTGAGCAGCCGCCGCCACCATCTGCCTCCAGAATTCTTTGGTTTTACATAGTTGTAACTCTGTAACGTTAAACACCAGCTCCCTATGCATGCTTCCCCACAGCCCCGGCAATCCCCATTCCACTTGTATATCTCCATGAATTTGATGAGACTAAGAACCTCATAGAATTGAAACCACACAACAGTTGTTTTGTGGCTGGCTTGTTTCACTTAGCATAATGTCTTCCAGGGTCCTTCATGCTGTAGCATGTGTCAGATTCCTTCTCATGGCTGACGATGTTCCATCGTAGCTCTGTACTGTACCACACATAGTGTTTATCCATTCACCAATCAATGGACACTTGTATTGCTTCTACCTTGTGGCCAGCATGAATAATGCTTTTATGAACATGAACACCAGTATCTGTTTGAGTTTCTGGTTTTAATTCTTTGAACTCTACAGGTGTTCCTTGACTTACAATAAGGTTATATCCCAATGAACTCATTATAAACTGACGATGTCACAAGTAAAAAAATGCACTTAATACACCTAATCTATCAAACATCACAACATAGCAATGCAGTACACTATAGAGTGCCTGTTTTTACCTTTGTGAATACATTGCCAACTGGGAGCTGCAGCTCTCTACTATTTCACACCATAGGTTGCGAGCCTGGGAAAAGACCAGAATTCAGATTACAATGTGTGCTCAAGGTGTGTTGCTCTTACACCATCACAAATAGAAATACCCTAAGTTAAACCATTGTAAGATTGCATCTGCATACCCCCGGAAGTAGAATTGCTGGCCCATATGGTATTTTATTTTTATTCCATGCTTACTTCTGTTTTCTATAGGAGTTGCACTATCTTACATTTCCACTAGCAGTGCACATGGGTTCTATTTCTCCATGTCCTTCCAGCACTTGCTGTTTGGGGTGTTTCGATAATGCCATCCTCATGCATGTGAACTTGTATCTTCTTCTGGTTTTGATTGCATTTCTTTAATGATTAGTGATGTGGAGTGTGCTTTTATGTGCTTATTGATCATTTCTAGGTCTTCTTGGAGAAAAACCTACTCAAGTCTTTGCCCATTTTTAATTGAATTGTTTTTGTTATTACTGAATTTTAGTTTGTTATGTACCTTGAGTATTGATCTCTTTGCACATTTGTGGTTTGCAAATAGTTTCTCTCTTTGCATAGATTCCACTTGCACTCTGAATTACATGTCCTTGGGGGAAGATGATCTTAATTTTGATACAGTCTGGGTTTTGTACATGTTTTGTTGCCTGTGCTTTTGATGTCATTGCAAGAAATCATTGCTACATCCAAGGTCATGGAACTGTTCCCCTATGTTTCCTTCTAGGAGTTTTATAGTTTTACATTTTAGTCTTTGAATTAATTCTGAATTTATTTATTTACCTGGTATAAGGAAAAGGTTGAACTTCATTCTTTTGCATCTGGATAATCTTTTTTCCCAACACAATTTCCTGAAAGCACTGTGCTTTCCCTATTGAATAGTCTTAGCACCCTTGTTGAAAATCATGCATGAGTTTATTCCTGGGCTCTGTATTCAATTCCACTGGTCTTCAGTATACTGTTGCTAAACTATGATGTACAACACCGGTACCACACTGTTTGATCACTGGAGCTGTGTAATAAATTCTGAAATCAGCATGAGTAACTTTATTACTCTTTTTCCAAGACTGCTTTGGCTGTTGGGCTCCCTTGGTTTTCTGTGTGAATTTTAGTATGGATTGACTCTTCCAATTTGTAAATACAGAAATCTTTCCCTTATTGAGGTTGTATCAGTCATCTTTATGCTCTATCACAGAGTACCACAGACTGGCTCATTTATAAACAACAGAAGTTTGTCTCCCAGATCTGGAGGCTGGAAAGGCCAAGACCAAACAGCCACATCTAGCAAGGACCTTCTTCATGCTGCATCATAACATAGTGAAAGGCACCGCATGACCTGAAGCACAGGACAGAAGTGGGGAGGTGGGCCTCACTGACCCTTCCACCAGGAGCCCATGCCTGCAATAGTGGCATTAATCCAAGCCCTCGTGGCCTGATCACTCTTAAAGGTCCCACCTCTTAACACTATCACAATGGTAAATTTCAGTCTGATATTTGGAGTGGACATTTAAACCACAGCCGATGGATTCCTCTATTTCTTTCAACAGTATTTCATAGTTTCCAATATACATATTTTTCACTTTGTTAGGTGCTAATTTAAGAATTTTATTCTTCTAAATGCTATTGTAAATGGGATTATTTTCCATTGGTTATGTATAGAAACACAAGGATTTATTGGTGTTGATTTTGTATCCAGCAGCTTTGCTGGATTTATTAGTTCTATCGTTGTTGTTAAATCTTTAGGGTTTTCTGCATATAGGACCACAATATCTGAACAGAGATCATTTTTTTCTCTTCTAATTTGGGTGCCTTTGTTTCTCTTTCATCCCTAATTGCTCCAGCTAGAACATCCTATACTGTGTGGACTAGAAGTGGCAAAAGCAGGCATACTGATCTTGGAGAAGCTTTTGGTCTTTCACTATGGAAGGCCCTAGATGTGAGGTTTTCACACAGCCTTTATTATGTGAGCCCGTTTTTCTTTATTTCTAGTTTGGTCACTCCATTTCCTTTCTTTTATACAAGACACTTTTCATCATCACTCTTCCTCTCCTCTCTCTCTCTCTCAACAGTGGCTCCCTCAGGAGTTTCTATCTTGCACATACACACACAACTGTCTAATCTTGAGTAAATTTCTTAAAAAGAGAACTTCCTCAGTCTGACATGACATGATGGCATACACTTGTATTCCCAGCACTCTGGGAAGTTGAGGCATTGAAGCCCAGCCTGGGCAATTTAACAACATAGCAAGATCCTGTCTCGAAAATTTAAAAAAAATTTTTTAAAGGGCTAGGGATGTAGCTCAGTCCAAAGGCCCTGGGGCCAATCTCCAAAAAAATCTTAGTAGCAGGTGGAGGATGTGGAAGGAGGGGAAAATTCTGACATTTTCTCACTTTAAATATAGTTGTACTTTCACTCTTATTTATGTCTCTTTGTCTCCAGTAGTGTGCTTGCTGGATCATATGATAGATCTGTTTTTAATATTTTGATCAATCTCCACATTATTCCCTGTATTCCCATATTCTACTAATTCGATCGTATCAAAGCGTCTCCTTTTCTGCACACACTCACTAGGACTTGTTGCCATTTATCTTTGTCACAAAGCCATCCTAACAGCTGTGAGAGATCTCTCACGGTGGTTTTAACTTGCATTTCTTTGATTAGTGATATTGAGCCTTTGTAATATACCTGTTAGCCATTTGTGTGTCTTCTTTTGAGAAATGTCTATTCGAGTCCTTCAACCCCATTTTTAATTGGATTATATGTTTATTGTTCTAGAGTTGTTTGAAGTCATGTATTTTTGCATATTAACCCCATCCCGGATACACAGTTTGCAAACATTTCCTCCCATTCTGTAGGTTGTCTTTTCACTCTGTTGACTTTTCCTTCACTGCACAGAACCTTCTTTAGTTAGGAGTTTCATTTGCTCATTTTTATCTTTTGTTGCCTATACATTTGAGGTCATTACAAAACAAAACAGAAAACATTGCCCAGACCAATGTCATGAAGGTTTCTCCCTACTTTATTCTAGTAGTTTTAGTGTCAAGGCTGATACTTAAATCTTCATTACATTTTGAGTTATGCTATGCTTTCTTTGTAAATGTTTCAAAGTAACTCAAAGAGCCACTCTCCTTACTCAAGAAATTTTTGATGATTTATTGTCTTTTTTAAAAAAACAGGAATATTTCCTACAATCCAATCCAGAACATTCAAGCAAATCAATTTGATTATCTTGTCAAGCTCAAGTCTCTGTAAGTATACATAGATGGAGTAGTTTCACGATAATGTTATTATCTCAAGCCAGGCATTATGACACATGCCTATAAGTTCACCTACTGTGAAGCTCAGGTGGGAGGATCTCAAGTGTAAGGAAATTTAATGAGACTGTCTCAAAAAAGGTATTTTTTTTAAAAAGCCTGGAGGTATAGCTCAGTAGTAAATGCTTGCCTAACATACATGAGGCCCTGGGATCAATCACCAGTACTACACTAGAAAGAAAAACAGAGGGAGAAGTAGAAGAGGGAGGGAAAATGGAAGGAAGGAAGGAAGGAAGCTGCTACTTCAGTATCAATAACTAATATTTTATAATCTTTCAAATTAAAAGCTTTATTTCCAGGACATTAGTTAAGCTTCACAAAAACAAGTCAGACAGGTGTTTTTGATGAACTGTAAATAAACAGCTATTAGTTTTATCTTACATGTTAATAAACTAAAAATTAAATATTGATGAATCATCTTCTGTCTTCTGTCTTCACCAGGAGCTTACACTGCATTATTTGCTTTAACTCTGAAAGCCCCTGTGCATATTCATTGGTTCTTTGGTTCTGAGGAGGTGGGGGCCCTTACAGGCATCCTTACCTCGAGATGGAACATTCTAGATTATGAAAGCCATGTCTCAGCCCACACTCACTCAAAGACAGAAATTCTAGCAGTCTAAGAATTGCCTTAAGAAGATAATCTTTGGTTCCTCTCATTTCAATGTTCTTTCAGCAACATGGCATTTCATTAGAAACAATTTAAATTATTAGAGAAATTTCAAAGATGTGAAACTCCTCTGCTATTGTAATGTTGTTCAGAAATAATGCTCATTCATTTATTCCATAAATGTTTGAGTAGTTTTTACTTTGCACTGTGCTTTGTGCCGTGATACGAGGAGTCAAGAACTCAAATAGGGGAGAAATATGCTCTCAAGTCACACAAGCAAAGAGGAGTTGGGAGAAGGCCTGGGCTGATGAATATTCTATTTAGAATAATTGTTATGTAAAAGCATTTTATTAAATTTTCCTTCACAGAAACTCATTTTATTATACTGTGTATAATATGTTCCTTTGATTATTAATTTCATATTTTAGCAGCCTAGAAGGAATTGAAATTTCAAATATCCAACAAAGGATGTTTAACCCTCTTGTGAATCTCTCTCACATGTAAGTAGATGTTTTCAGTCTTCACCTTGATTTTAATGTGTTCATTCCCATGTGTATTGCGACAAGACACACACACCCCATCCATGTAATCTATCCGTATTTCCTGCCAGTCTACGTGCTATACCCTGAATATGTGCACTACCCAAGGCAATGGTATTATGAGGTGAAGCCCTGAGAGGCGATGAGCTCATGAGGGCAGGGCTATTATGAATAGGATTCATGCTCTTAAGAGACCCCAGGGACCCACTTTGCCCCTCGACCACATGAGGACATGGCAAGAGCATGACCATCATCTACGAACTAGAGGGCGGGACCTCGGCAGATGCCAAATCTGTTGTCTTGAGCTCCTGTCTTCAGATCTGTGAGAAACAAATGTCTGTTGCTTAAATCGTCAGACTGTGGTATTTTTCTTCCAGCAGCCCAAACACTCAGTACAACTCTTAGCGCTGTGACATGGGCAGACAATTTTTAGTTTTCCACATTCTGGCAGAATTTCATAGGAGAATTTTTTAATATCAGGAAACATTAGTGTATAGAGAACCCATCTTTTTTTTTCCTGCAAGGAATGAACTCATGGTCTTCACACCAAGCTACATCCCAACCCCCTGTTTTTTGAGACAAGGTCTCCTAAGTCACTAAGTTGCTCAGGATAGACTATAACTTTCCATCCTCCTGCCTCAGCCTCCTAGAGTGCTGAGGGGATTATAGAAATGTGCCACCACATGAGGCTAGCTGAGAGCTTGTCATAAGAATAAAAGGAAAATGTGATATATATAACATTATACACACACACACACACACACACACACAATGGAGTACTACTCACCCATAAAAGAGGATAAATAATTTGGGTCATTTGGAGGAAAATGGACACACCTTGAGACCATAATGCTAAGTGAAATAAATTAGACATGGGGTGAAGTTGTTCCCTCAACTAAAACCTCCACATTGTCACTAGCAGGGTGACTAGATGGGTGGCAGCCAAACTAGAAAACACACAGCTCCCATCATTCTGACAGAGCAAAACTTCAGCCTAAGACACATAAAACAGTAACCAATACTTTTTCTGCAGGAGCTACATCACAGTGGATTTATATAGATAGACTAAACTCTGATCACTCACTAAGCATTTTTTAAACTCATCTACCTTTTACAAATGAACAATTTATTTATGCTCTCACATGTGTCCTACGCATATTTTCATCATCCTTATTTGCTACTCTCATCCACACATTCTTTTAAAATGAAATCAAGTTTATGAGAGTTAAAGTTAAAACTGCAGAATGTCTAATATTTTGCATTCCTTTGAACCTCATATTAAGACACCTTTCTGCCAAGAAAAATGCCAAAAATAAAGATTAATGTATGGTGCCACTGAATTAAATTTCTTATTAAGTTTATTGGTATAATTCAGATATACACAATGATCACATTCATCTTATGGAATTTGTTACCTGTACATGATATATCTTAATTCTTATTTTTTCCCATTCCCCTCCCCTCCCTTCATCCCTTCTTCTCTCATCTACAAAAGTTTTGCTTCTATTTTCTTTTTCTCATTTTTCCCCTTTTCCCTTCTTCCTTTCCCCCTCTCCCCTTCTTAGTGCCCCTTCCCATTTGAACATTTTCTTCCTATTTCACATTATCTATCCTACATTTTGGTCCTTTTCAAACTTTCAGTTTCTCACACCAGAGAAACAAGGCAATATTTACACGTGTGCCCAATTTATCATTTAAGTGTGGTCTCCAGGTGCATCCATTTACCTAGAAATGGCTCCCGTTTATCCTTCTTTATGGCTTAGTACTCCACTGTATAAAAAAAAAAAATCACATCTTCTTTATGTATTCCTTGGTTGATGCGCATTTGGGCTGTTTCCAAGATTTAGCTATTAGAAACTGTGCTGTTATAAACATGGGTGTGCATGTATCACTGTGGTATGATGCTTTTAATTCTTTTGGGAAGATACCAAGAAAGGGAACAGCTAGGTCAAATGAAACGTTTAGTCTTAGTTTTTGGAGGAATCTCCACACTGATTTTCACAGTGGTTGCACCAGTCTACACTCCCACCAACAGTGGAGAAGGGTTCATTTTCCTACAGCCTTACCAGAATTTATTACTGGTTGACTTCTTGGTAACAGCCATTCTTTCTGGAGTGAGATGGAGTCTTACCATTGTTTTAATTCACATCTCTTGAATGGCCATTTTTTCATATATTTATTTGCCATTTGTACTTCTTCATCTCAGAGGTGTGTATTCATCTCATTTTTGGATTAAGTCTTTAAATTTGGGGGGAGCTATTTTTTTCAGTTCTTTATGTATTCTAGATATTAGTCTTTTGGCTGAGAAACTGCTGGCATAATTTTTTCCCATTCTGTTGGTTGTCTCTTCATTCTGTTGGTGATTTCTTTTGCTATGCAAAAGCTTTTTAATAAGATAGGATCCCAGTTGTTGGTTCTTTGTAATATTTCCCATGCAATCAGGGTTTTGTTCAAAAAATTGTTGCCTACACCTATGTCTTCAAGAGTTCTACCTATTCTCTCCTCCAGCAGAGAGGGTTTCTGTTTTAATATTTAGATCTTTAAATCATTTTCATTTTATTTTAGTGGATGGTGAGAGACATGGCTCTAGTTCTAGTCTTCAGGATGCAGACAGCCAGTTTTTCTAGTACTACTTATGAAAGAGGCTATCCTTCTTCCAGTGAAGGTGTTTGGCCCCTTTCTCAAAATATAAGGTGGCTAAATGTGTTCAGAGTTGCTTCTGCATCTTCTAATCTGTTCCTTTGATCTGCAGGTCTGTTTTTTTTGCCAGTACCACGCTGTTTTTATCACAGTAGGTCTGTAGTATAATTTTGTCAGGGATTGTGATGTCAATTAAATTTAAATTTTAAAATCTTTTTTTTTGTATACCAGATATTTTAAGAAATTCCAGTACTGTGGCTACGCACCACACGTCCGCAGCTGTAAACCCAACACTGATGGGCTCTCTTCTCTTGAGAACCTCCTGGCCAGTGTCATTCAGAGAGTGTTTGTCTGGGTCGTGTCTGTGGTCACCTGCTTTGGAAACATTTTTGTCATCTGCATGCGACCTTATATCAGGTCTGAGAACAAGCTGCATGCCATATCAATCATTTCTCTCTGCTGTGAGTATTCCTGTCTAAAGAGGAACTCCAGTTCTGAAATATTCAGAAGCATAGCTATTATATTTGTAAGCAGAATTTGGGAAACATGCTTTTAATCCAAAGTACTTGTATGTTAAAGCAAATTTTCCCATAAGAAATAATGAAACTCAGATGATTCGTTCCACAACCCAAAAATATTCATATAAAAATGATTACAATAATATAATATAAATACAAAGAAAAACAAATTAACCTGTACTTACCTTTGAACACCTTTGTGACTGGTGTGAGGGAGACAAGAGAGAGGAGGGTTATTTCGTAGAATGAGTTTCACTATCACTAAGGGAATCATTGTTATCTATTGTCTCAATGGAATCTTTTTCATTTTGTGCAACTTTAACAGCAACCTACCCAATAACACTTGCTTTTGTCTCCTTTGAAGGATTTCACAGAAATGTGACATGCATTGTTGTTAAACATTCATCATATGCACTGCTACAGCTTTATTCCAATGGTGGTTTTCTACAGAATTTTACAGTTTCCCACATTTTACACATCTCATTTGAAGTGAGAGATTCTTCCACCTTTTTCTCCTCCTCTGCAGATGAGGTCTCCTTCATAACCTCTTGCTGTTGGGAGATAATCAACCCCAATCCCGGAGGGTCGGGGGAGAAAAGGGAGAGGGCAAGAGAGGAGAGAAAGAGAGAGGGAGGAACCATTGGCTCAGTTGCGATCCTGTGACACTAAGTGTCACATACAACTCTTACTGCAAGACACTGCTTGTTTATCAAGATAAAATTAGAAATGTTTGCTAGTCTTGTGGAACACTCAGAGAACAAGTTACTCTCAATCCAAGGTTTTACTGTATGTTTTCTTATTTTCTACCAAAAATAACATTACTTTAGTGACAAAGAAATGAAATTAGCCGGGTATAGTGGCATATGCCTGCCTGGGAGACTGAGGCCGGCCTGGGCTGCACAATGAGACTGTCTCAAAACAAATACAGCAGGGCCAGGGATTTAGCTCAGTGGTTTCGCCGCCTGCTGTGCAAGCGCAAGGACCCGAGTTCAATCCCCAGTACCAAAAAAAAGAAAAGAAAAAAGAAAACAAATACAGTAAACAAAACAGAGAAAATAAATTTTAAAATTAAATCACCTTACCGATTAATGAAGCTCTCATATCCTTGTTTTCTCTTATAAAGTAGCTGTGAGGTATAATTTGTTAAAGCATCCAAAATCTTTTACCGCAAAAATACTGCAACCTTCTATGGTCAAATTTTTACATCCAGAACCATATTTACATCTTTCTTTGCATGTCCAGTTCACAGATACTGACTTAACAACTAGTTATTTTTCTAGTCTCTGAGCTGCTAGAATCCTTTCCATCCATAACTTGAATTACAGACAAGTGTTTTCAGGTAGTAATTTTTAAGTTTTTGAAATATGGTTGTGAGAGATTATGTTAAATAAAGAGTAGAAGCAAAAATAAGCAAGAAACCCATCTTGTGAATATTTGCAGTCTGGGGCACATGGCCTAGAACTTATCTGCAGTCTCTCAAGCAAGTAAAGCATCAATCTACATGATGTTTTCTTTTGAGGGATGGGAGGATTGAACCTACGCCTTGTACCTATACTCTACCACTGAGCTCCATTCCAGGACTGAATGTTGCCTCTTTGTATGCTGTTAAATGTCCTACCCACAACCTTGCTCCAAGTCTGACATCTAATTATTCTTTTCATTACAAGCTACGTAAAAAACAGTACTAAGATGTTTAATACTTTGTACTGTTACTTACACAACTTCAAGTTAAGTTCAATTTCCTAATGAAAACTAGAATGTAACTTCAGTGTTAGAATTAGGGTCAGACAAATGATTTTAGGGACTTCATATAGAATGTTTGCACCGTCAAAACATCTCAATTTGATAGAAATGTTTGCTTAAAATATTTTTAAAAAACAAGTAGGGTACATACTGAGACTAATCTGGGGGCAGAACAGAGTAAAAATCGACAAAGATGTAAAAATGAGGGGAGAATTAGAGTACAGTTCTGCATGGCAGGTTCTGGATGACATCCTTCGCTTGCTGAGCAGGAAGAATTTCAGTGGAAGAGCTGAGCCAAACACCACCTCCATCTGGGTCCCTAACTGAATGTTCAACATAACTAGATTTTATATATTTACTCTACACTTCTCCATGACAGGTGTAGAATGGAGAACAAAAGAGATAAGATCTCTGATCTTAAAGACTTACATTTTAAAGGAAAACAGATAAGGGATTGTGTAATTAACTTTAGAAGGTGTTATGAGACTGCTTACCAAAAAGGGTGAATGAATAGGTCCTCATCATTAAGTGAGGGTTTGTTTTTTATTGTTCTTTTTGGTTGTAGTTCTGGGAGTTTTTTTGGTGTAGCCCTGAGGAACAATCCCAGGGCCTCATGCATGCTATGCATACTTTCTAGCACTGAGCGACATTACACTGCCAGCCCACTAATCCTTAGAAGAATAAAAATTATTTCCTCCCAAGGTAGAAGAAACTAGGCTATTTTTTCAATATTAAAAATTGTATTGCTGGGCCGGGGATTTAGCTCAGTGGCACCATGCCTGCCTCTTAAGTGCAAGGTCCTGAGTTCAATCTCTGGTACAAAAAAAAAAAAATTGCATTGTTTACTGATAATTTCATCATGCCTATTTATTTCTCTAAATCTGTGAAATTTGCTGGCCCCTGTAGGTGCCGATTGCCTCATGGGAGTGTACTTATTTGTCATCGGAGCCTTGGACCTCAAGTTCCGTGGAGAATACCATAAGCATGCACAGCTGTGGACGGACAGTACAAATTGTCAGCTTATGGGCTCTTTGGCCATTCTGTCCACAGAAGTGTCAGTTCTACTTTTGACATTTCTTACTTTGGAGAAATACATCTGCATTGTGTATCCTTTTAGGTGTTTAAGACCTCGAAAATGCAGAACAATTACAATTCTGATTCTCATTTGGATTGTTGGGTTCATAGTGGCTTTCATTCCACTAAGCAATAAGGAATTTTTCAAAAACTACTATGGTACCAATGGAGTATGTTTCCCTCTTCACTCAGAAGATACAGAAAGTACTGGAGCCCAGATTTATTCAGTGGCAATTTTTCTTGGTAAGAAACTTTATATTACAAGCCATTTCATTCAAATGCTGGGGTAATGAAGAATATAAAACTCACTATGTCTTCTAATGTTTACAAATTTTTATTTCAAATCTTTTATCCATTTTGTCTCATTGAGAGTGAGTTGAATTCTATCAGAATTGGGCCGGGGATTTAGCTCACTGGTTTCGCCGCCTGCTGCTCAAGCGCAAGGACCTGAGTTCGATCCCTGGTACCAAAAAAAAAAAGAGAAAGAATTCTATCAGAATCCCCAATGGGCATTTTCCTCCAAATCACTGCTTTATCATATAAATTTCAACCAGATGGACTCAATAAAACACTGATCATTTGTATTTCATGTGTTAACCCTAATAATAATAACAAGCAAAATATACTTTGGCTCCCCAATAAAATATGAGCATAATTCAAAAAACAATATGAGCATATTCATAAAGTATTACCTTTTCAAATCCATGTGTGTAGCTACATATATCTTTCACCCAGGAGTATACATACAACTGTTCTAAGGCAACAATGTAAAAATATTGTCAAAATGCAACACAAAGTAATTAAATTATTTTAAAAATCACTAATGCTAGAAAGTACCAAGGCCAGAGTATTTCATGACTTACTAAAATTTTAATATTCACCTTTAAAATTAAACATCTCGTCATTCTTTATTATTTCAATAATACTTCAACTCAAAAGAATTCATGATGTGCTCGGGGTGTAGCTCAGTGGTAGAGCCCTTGATCTATCCACCCCCAGCATCTCCAAAAACAAATCGTTTTTGTGCAACTTAAGAATTCTTTATGAAACATGAAAAATATGTATTACAGCTTTCGTATCTTTAATAATAACACCCAAGGGTTTGTTCTGTTTATTTGCTTGTTTTGAAAGAACACTCATAGGCAGTATCACCCCTTCTCTTCTAAACAGGTGTTAACTTGGCAGCGTTTGTCATCATTGTGTTTTCCTATGGAAGCATGTTTTACAGTGTTCACAGAAGCACCGGGACAGCAACTGAAATACGGAATCAAGTTAAAAAAGAGATGATCCTCGCCAAGCGGTTTTTCTTTATTGTATTTACCGATGCATTATGCTGGATACCCATTTTTGTACTAAAATTTCTTTCACTGCTTCAGGTAGAAATACCAGGTACAATTTTTCTTTCTTTCTGTAAAGAGTAATCTGCTTGCACAACAGTCTTCTAAGTAACATAATTAAGATTCTTAACACTAACTAGTTTCAAAATGGTTAAGTCCAAGTTACACGGACTTTAGGCTCTGCTCATCAATAAATGTTTACTGACAGGAAGTTGTTTGGTTCTTTAATGCCTAATAATACAATTACTGCTGGAACAAAAGAACAATAACTAAAATAAATGGTATGCAGTGCTGAAATAAACTGTATGCTTAAGATGATCAGAATGGAGACTGAGGCAAAATTATCAAATAAACACTTTTATCAGAAGTAAGAAGTTTTTCTTCATGGAACATATTCAATTTAGAAAACATTACACCAGAGTATGAGAGATAATAGAAGAAAACACTTATTTAAAAATAATTTGTATCACATCCAGTAGGGTGGTTAGTGTCTTACACAGATACCTGTTGTGGTGCCACACACCTGTAATCCCAACACTCAGGAGGCTGAGGCAGGATTGTGACTTGGGAGTCCAGCCTGAGCTACAAACTGACCCTGTCTCAAAACCTACACCACACATCTCCTCACACAGAAAATGAAGTGTCAGCAAGCACACGGAGAAACTGGAACATCATCTGTATACTGCTGGTGTGAATATAAAATGGTATAGCTGCTACAGAAAATAGAGTGATGGTGATTCCACAAAAAATTAAACATAGAGTACAGCCCAGCAATTCTACTTCTGGATAAATAACCAAAGGATTTGAAAGAAACAACCCAAGTATATGTTTTACACCCATGTTTGTAACAGCATTATTCACAATAGCTAAAGATGAAAGCAATACCAGTGTCCATAGTTGGGAGAATGAATAAATAAAATATAGTATATGCACACACAATGGATTGTCATCCAGCCTTATAAAAGCAAAACATTCAGACACATGCTACAATACAGGTGAGTCTTGAGGACATTACGTTAACTGAAATAAGTCAGACACAAAGGGGCAAAGGTTTTAGGATTCCTCCGCTAGGCAGCTCCTAGACTAGTCAACTAACAATACAGAATGATAGTTGTTAGGAGCTGGGGTAGAGGAAAATAGGGAATCACTGTTGAACAGGTATAATTTCACTTTCGGAAGATGAAAAGTTCTGGAGATGGACTGTGATGATGGCTGTACAACACTGTGAATGTACTTAAGACCGCTGAACTGTACACTACAAAACGGTTACAATGGGCATGTAGCTATGTGGTAGAGTGCTTGCCTAGCACGTGCAAAACCTCAAGTTCAACTTCCTACACCAAAAACAAGGAAGCTAAAATGGTAAATGTTATGTTATGTTTTAGTACAATTAAAAATCTGCAAATGTCCTGTTACTATGTATACTATATATTCACATTTTAAAAATACATTTGTAAAATTAAGATCATATATATATATATATATGTTATTATTACCATTATTTTGTGATGCTGGGAATGGAACATGCATGCTAAGCAAGGGTTCTATCTCTGAGCTATATTCCCAACCCCTAAGATGATTTTTAATTGAGTTTAGCCAAAGAAGTTTTCAGTGAAATAAATACTGGCCCAAAGTCTAAAAGTGCATACCTATTTTTAGAATTAAATAAATAGCAAGAGAAAAATCCACTAAAGATAAGCCTGCATATTCTAAGAAAACTGTATGTACCATCTACTGGTTAACACATTTGAAAAAGTCATGATTTAAACACTAAGCAATGTGCTTCTCCTAAGCTGGAATCATAATACTATGTCATTACTTTGTGGGAACCATTTCTACCTAATGGAATACTTCTGTGGATGCAGTTAGGAGACGCTACTTTAGCCAAGAACCTTCTTTTACAGCACCGCACTCCCCTCAAACACTGGCTCTCTGAAAAGACATCCTGGAAAAATGTGGAGTTGGTATTAATTACATGACATCAAAGGAAAAAATTAAGAGTCAATACTGGGTCCGGGGTGGAAGACACAGGAAAGGGGTTTCTATCCTTGTAAACATCTATATGCACAAATTATTTCATTTTTCTCTTCCAGGTACAATAACTTCTTGGGTAGTGATTTTTATTCTGCCTATCAACAGTGCTTTGAACCCAATTCTTTATACTCTGACCACAAGACCATTCAAAGAAACCATCCACCAGTTTTGGTACAACTACAGACAAAGAAGGTCTATTGACAGCAAACGAAGTCAGAAAACATACCCTCCATCCCTCATCTGGGTGGAGATGTGGCCTCTCCAGGAGATGCTGCCTGAGGCCAGGAGGCCAGCTGCTTTCACAGACCCCTGTGAAATGTCACAGATTTCTCAATCAACTCGACTCAATTCCTATTCATAGCTGACTCAGAGGCCCACTTCTTCACAGAGAATACTGTGGGGAGCTCCAGGAGGGACTTCTGAGCAAGAAATAAATACCATAAAATTATTAAATTAATATAGACATTAATAATGGCTAAGACAAATTAGCTTACAAGGAGATAAAGAAAAAAGTGGTTAAAGCTTATATAAAAGAAATTATAATCATAATGTGTATATAAAATATATATTTTGTATAAGAAATTAAGAGAAATCTACTACAGAGAGATTAATTCATTGTTCTATCATACATTTATGGAGCACCCACTATGCAAATCACATTACAGTAGACTGCTGGAAGTAAGCAGTAAGAACCTTTTCCATCTGTAAGTTGTTAACTACAAAAGACTGCACAAAGTTCATGTACTGCTCCTAAGTTTCATATGGCATGCATATCAAAGAAAATATGTTTGCAAAATACAAATATTCTGTTTTAAGAATTCTCATCTCTAAATTAACTTCTGTGTATCAAAGGAGCTTACCAAGAAAGTAAAAAGATAACCTACCAGGATATAAGAAATAATGCAAACCATATCTCTGAAAAGGGCTTAACATCCAGGATATACAAAGCACTCTTAAAACTCAATGACAAAATTTTAAGCAAAAGACTTGAATGAATATTTCTTCAAAGAACTTATACAAATGACCAATAAGCACATAAAGATGTGCCCCACATAACCAGTCATTACTGAAATCTAAATTAAAACGACAATGTGAAAAACTTCTCATTTGGTAAGAGGGGTTATTATCAATAAATAAATGTTGGAGAAGATGTGTAGAATTTAAAATCCTTTATACAGTGCTAATGGAGATGAAAAATGGTGTAGCCACATAAAAGTGTAACAGTCCTTCAAAAAAATTAAAAAATATAATTACCATATGACCCAGTGTATTAGTCACTTCCTGTCATGAGACAAAATATCTCACACCCAAAACTTAAAGGAGAGGGGTTTTTGGCTCATGGTTTCAGAGGGTTTAGTCCACAGTCACCTAGCTCCAGGGCAGAATCAGCATGGTGGAAGGACTGGTGGAAGAAAGCTACTCAATCCATGGCAGCCAAGAAGCAGAGAGAACTGGGACAAGAACACACCCTTCTAGGTCAGGACTCCACTGACCTGGCCCCACTGCCTACTAACATATTAAGCTCTGAACTCATCAATGGATTCATCCACTAATTAGTACAGCGCCCCCCTGATCCAATCACCATCCAAAGGCTTCACCTCTAGCACATGAGACTTCTGGGAGATATTCTGGATCTAAATCATAACACCCAGCAATTTCACTCCTAGATATAAACCCAAGAGAACTGAAAATAGGACTTAAACATACTTTTATGCAAATGTTTATTGCAGCATTATTCATAATCGCCAAAAGAAGAAAAAAACCCAAGTGCCTTGATGAATGAACAAATATATACACACACAAGGGAATAGTAAAAGAAATTCAATTCTGAAACATGCTACAAGAAAATGTAATAAAAGGAAAAATGCTATATAATTCCACATACACACCAGATCTAAAATAAACAGATTCATAAAGCTAGAAAGATCAGAGATTATTAGGGGAAGGGGTAGCAGCTAAGAAAGTGATGACTGATTCAATCAGGTGATCATTATAGGGTTTTAGAGTTGTTTAAAAAAGTAACCTCAATGTTACATAGATACTAGTGTATTATTTGTAAATACCATATTACTATTCTTCATAGAAACACAGATCCATAGATAGATAAATAGACAGACAGACAGACAGATAGATAGATAGATATTGGGGAAGACAGAATACAAGGAATTAGCTTATTCGTGATTATGGTAGCTGGCAAGTCTAAAAACTCTGCCAGTTCAAGTCCAAAGTCTGTCTGGTTGCTGTAAAACCAGGAAGAGCTATTTTCAGTTCAAAGACTATCAGGCAGAATTCTTTCTTGCCAAGGGGACGGACAGCCTGTAAGGAAAATTTAAGGGGGCCTTAGCATGGAGTTAAGCCAATATATCAAAAGAATACAGAGAGCTCAGAACTTGGCACTTAGAAAGTAAGTGAATGACAGACACTGCATTAGAAACAATGGTACTTGGAAGAAGAGATATACAATTGCAAAAAAAAAAAAAAAAAGCAAGATCCTAAAATAATACAGAAAGAAAAAACAAATTTCAGTTGGATTAAACACCTAGATGTTAAAAAAAAAATTTTAAACTTTTGGAAGGACAAATAGGATGTATCTTTATGACATTTCCTATACAAAACACAGAATGAACAAATCATTGTGAGCTTGGTAAGAGTACATTAAAAATTTGCAGCTAGGGATTTAGCTCAGTGGTGCCGTCACCTGCCTTGCAAGCACAAGGTCCTGAGTTGGATCCCCAGAACCAAAAAATTAAAAAAAAATAAAAACCTTTATTCAAAGAGATTCCATAATCAAAATACAAAGATAAACCACATTATAAGAGACAGTTGAAATATATGTAACAGATCATTAATATTCAAACTATATTGTGGGAAATTGTAGAATTTAGTTATCTAGTTATAAGAATTGATCACAAGAAGTTATCTGAGAAAATTAAGTTGTTTCTGGGAATTTCCACAAGTCTGTTTGTTAAAAGAATTCCGGGAAACTTTAAGAGACATTGTAAAAGTTTCACAGGAGAAAAACATGTTTTCCTAGTTTTCTCAGTAACCATTGTCCGGGATCAGAGGACAGCGACCCAATGACTCTATGGGTGGTAAGAGGGATACGACTCACTATGCACATCTGTGACGTTTGTGGTGGGCCAGTGGGCTTGATTTTGGCTGAAGTCGCCCTGCTCTCTTGCTACCATCTGATAAGAAGAGGGCTGCGGTGTTCTCTTTGATGTACAGGATTGGTGAACGGAAACCGGGGACTTGTGAATTGGCCTTTAGCTTTTATGAGTCACTTAAAGTCATTTCTCACCAGAGATTAAAATCAGAAAGAGGATAGCCAGAATAACTAAACTGCTTTCCTACATGCGTAAAAGCCTTACTTCTTTCCTTTGTGATTGTCGAACAGTGTCAGAGGAAATAAACTGCTGCTTGTCCCCCAGCCTGTCTCCTGTTTTTTCTTTAAAGGTCGGTGCTCCCCGGGGTCTCAGGTCTCCCTTTAGAGAGACCACCAACAAGCGGGGAGCCTCCTCAGCGTTCCTGTATCCTCAGAGCATGGTTTTCAGAGTCCCCACCTGTCCCACCCTCTGGCCGTGCCACTCAGAGGCAGCTCACTTTTTAGTACTCGAGACAGCTCGTCCGCCTAGAACTTCACCAGCTTGGTGGCTGCAGCCTCTGGGAAGCTCTTGTGACTCCCTCGTGTCCGTGGCACCTGCACTCGGCTCACCACAGGTTTTAACTCTGAAAATCGCCTGCTAGTCCTTTCCCAGTGCACTCTGAAACCACCAACTCTGTCCTGTTTGACTTTGAGGGTGAATGCATGAATGAATGAGCCATAAACCCAGATACCAGCTCTCTACAGTGTCACACGTAGGTGCTAGACAGTCTTCAAATGTCTATTTTGTGTCAGATCATAGAGAATATAATATTTAAAAATTTAACAATGGGAGAAAATGGAAGCTTCTCATCTTTTGGATTGGGTCCCTCTAGTGCATTGTAATTCAATGGAATCTCAATGGAATTTTTATATCTATTACTATTTTTAAATAGTTCTCACATTTTTCTTTTTTTTCTTTTTTGTTTTTTTAGTTCTCACATTTTTGATAGCTTACTTCACTTCTATTTCTGTGTAGGTTTCTCTGACCTCTCTCTTGTCTAATAAAATGACATTTTGTTGTTGTTTATGCTGGTGTTAGCCGTAATGGTTTGCTCAAATTTCTCACATTCTGACCGATGACATTAAGAATCTAATGTCCACTGGTGAAAATTCAGCTAAGGGAAAACATCATTTTAGCTGTGGGAAAAAATTAAGAAGATAAATTTAAGCACCATTTCCATTGGTAATTGCCTAGGATTTCCTGCGGAGGGTTTCATTGTAAGGAAACTTTTGCAAATGTTTCTCATTTTAAATAAAAATATAAAATAATAATAGGAGTTATGAATTAGATCAAAGGAAATGTACTTGATGACATTCTCAGATGGTTTGCTCTAAATATTAGTAGAAAAGTTGCATTGCTGTTTCTGCTCTGGGAGCCTCAGAGTGTTTCTAAATTTCTCATGATATTTTATGTAAATGGAATAAACTATCAGAACCAGTATTTAAATCATTATTATCTTAATATCACAGTATGTAAGTGAATGACACTAATAGTTTTGGAAGTTCATTCAGAAATAATTTTAGCAAATATATTGCTTTTTTCATGAGAAGAAAATTCACAATGCTACTGTTCACCTATTACAAGCCATTTCAGCTTCATGCTGTGTGTTTTAATCTGTAATTTAAAGTTTTAAATGTAAATCATTTTGGCTTCTGCATAAAAAGCAACCCCCAAAATTCCCATTTCATTCTTGGGCAGTATTCCAACTTATAAAATTATTGAAGTGCTACAGAATGCAAATTCATTTAGTTGGACTAACAAGTTCATAAAATTTTCCCATACTTCATTATAATCTCTTTCCTAAAGTAGAAAATCCTCTGGTTTATAAATTCCAGCTGTTTGTAATATTTTAGTTTGATTTAGTTTTTAATGTTTAGGGACATAAATGCTGCTGAGAATTTTAATTGTGACATTTTTAGTGTCAGAGTGAAGTTCTTTAGTGAAGAGACCTTAAAAGAAATTGAAATATTGTTTTAAGTTCTAACAATATAAATAGTTGTGGGGAGTATCTACAAATTCATTTTTTCCTTTTTAAAAGTATATTCACCAAGTTTCAACCTTATTGGTGATATTTTATATTGACAATGGTTTTTGCAATGTTTCTTAAATTATCCAGTAATAAATGTGTGTCACCCCTAGGACTGGATTTTTTTCACCAAAATTTGGGTTTGGTCATGGCCATAATTCACACTTGGTATATTCCAGCCTATTTTACTATATTCAGTATTGTTCATTGAAGTTCATAATTGAGTGATACTCATTATAAATGTGAAGGTAAGGATGTTAATGGTACAAAAGGAAAATTATCACAGCCCAAAGGATGGGATTAAAAAGGAAATTCCTTCTAGCTTCTTTACTGGTAGCTAAAGCTTTCCAAAAGTAGGAGCTTGAGAATAACTGTGGAGGAATTAATTTTAGTCCCTGAACAATTGGAAACCATAACTAACTCTTGTTACACATAAAAGTGTCAACGTTTCTGCATTGA